TTTTAATTCTGTCATTATAGCGGACTCTGTTGCTTAGTCCACCTCTTCGTTGATGTCTTGCCTCAGGAGACCCCGCTGGCCTCCCTCCTGTCAGACAGGAATAGTCTCCCCCTTTGAGGTGCATGTGTGAACAGCCAGATCAGAAGGATAGAACATATACATATAATTGAATATAGAAAACAAGAACGGTTGCTGGTTAATTTTCTGTTTACTTAGATCTGTGGAAACTCTGAACAAAACAGTTTCTCAGAAAGTCTTGCCTGTTTGCGGGAAAAAAAAACAAAAGTTGTAAAAGAAAGATAGTGCTGAGATTCCCAGAGAGTTTGATTGTTAAGTGTAGCTGCCTTTAAATAGTTTTTATTGTGGACTTTCTGTCTCTCTGTCTGTGTTTATGTCTCCTGGTGGACGCCATAACAAAGTCCATTCACAAATCTACCAATTCAAGTCGACCTTTATCAGCAGGACTGCACGCCCAGAGAAAGTGATTCCAGGGGGGGGTGTCTTTGTTTTTCACTCGTTCTTCAGAAGAAAACACACACTTGTCATTTCAACATGAAGAGCGTTCATGTCGCTGGTTAAAAGTTCAGCCACAGTTTATGAGCTGTGGAAGCTGCTCAGGTGTCAGCTGCTGTCTGCTTACACAAAGATTGTTTATAAGAAGAGGGAGAGGCATCACTCTGGTTTGTTTCCTGACAACAGTAACAAAGGAGTGGTGATGATTTACCTAATGACAAACAAGCTGAATTAATGCTTTAATTATTTACCTTTGTCCAACCCGCTGAATACAATAACCACGAGCCTCAGCTACGGTTGCTTTAAAAGAAAATGGGTGCATCAAAACCATTTAAAAATCGAATTAGCTACTAAAACACCTTACAAAGCTTTCTTGATTTATCCAAAGCAGACCTATAATTTAAAAACAATTACATTTAAAGAAAATCAGCTCTTCATGCTGAAGTCCGTTCCTCAAAAAGCTCAAAAACTTCAGACTGTAGCAGCTTACAAAAGGAGATTTAAGCCGTTTTCACATCTGCACTCCGGAAAATATCTAGATCATTTCAGGAGACCTTCCTGTTCACATTATGCTCCTCACAGTGGGAGACTATCTCTGTCCTGCAACGTTTCACATCAGCTCACTCAGACATGCTGCGGACAAAATGCTCAGCGTCTGGCAGGAGAAACTCCAGGGGAAGTCTGAGCGAAATATGTGGCTGTTTATGTTCACACACGCAGCTCCACCTGAAGATTTCTGCATGTGTGAAAGACCCTAATAGATTATTCAGGCCTTTTTTTTTCTGTGCGTAACATTTTACACATCCACCGATAACGACCGGGAGAAGACTCTCCGATCAAAGCCATTTATTGGCTGAACAAGCTGTTTGTGTTAAGATGCCATTTGAAATGAAACTGAAGGAACTCTGGGTGATCATGTTCATTTAAAAGCTCTGCGTGCACAAAGGACAATCTACATGTTAAGTATTGCACTTATGCTGTTCTACTTGTTGTTATGGCGCCTGCCCTGTTATAAAACCACTGATAAGAGGCGGGAGGAAAAGTATGTCACTGTACAAACACTCAGATCAGCACTGATTCACCATGAAGACACTGTAATTCAAGGTCAGATTCTCGAGACATAAACACACCCGAGCTTTTGTTAGAGCTGCGATGATTTGTCTGCTTCTCATTAAACATTTATACTGATAGAGTTTATATTAATGGATTAACATTTCTGAAGTAAATGTAGAGTCCACAGTTAAAGCTGCGTATTGGTGAAATCTAGACGAGGGGTTGTGGTCGGCTTCAGGTTAAAAAAACAAACCAACAGGATTTCCACCCGAAGTGAGCAGAGTTATGTTTACATCCGTTCAAGACTTTCTGTGAATGACAGTAACGTGTTCAACAACAACACAATCTTTACTGTTCACATTAAAAAGGCAACGCTTTAAACATCTTCAGTTTTAACAAAAGGCTGCCTCAAGAAAAAGAGAGAGAGAGAGAGAGTGTGCGCTGTCTACATGGACAAAGTTTGGTACTAAAACGTTGACAATAGCTGACTACAGGAACTTTTTCATAGTTCTAGTAACCTTTGAAACCCTCGCCCCTTTATTTGTTGATTCTGCACCGCAGGACCTATGAACTATTTTAGTTCCTAGAACCTCATGTAGAGGAACCCTTTAGCTCCTGTTCAGAGTCGGTACCATGGTGGACGAATGCAGACAGAAAAAAGTCCCCATGGTGTGTAGTTCTCAGGGAACGCCCTAGTGGATAGTCTCCAGAACGGTTTGGTCTGAATACACCTTTTACATTTGTTTTATATATGCTGCGTTCCATTTGATCTCAGACGTTGGAAATTGAAGTTGCCAGTTTGATACGTCATCAGGAACGCCCCCTGAAGTCTGAACTCCGACTCGGAAACTCTGAGAACCTTCAGTAGCCCGAATTCAGATCCAATATGGCTGCCACGAGCATCGAAAAGGATGTTTAATCTGTGACTGTTTATTAGCAGCTTAGTCGTCTTTTTTGTGTAATTAAATCAATCACACCGATGGTATCATGCAAGTTCTCTCTGTGGAGGTGTTTTCATGTTATTTTCGGTCAGAAACTATCACGTCGTGTGTTGTTATCGTCTGGTGTTAGCTAACAAAACAAAAGTACTCCTCGAGGCGTCCATGTTGCTTTTCCGACTTGCAACTGGAACGCAGTTAACTCGGGTGTGACGTCATTCCCAGCTCCGAGATCCGAAAGTAAATGGAACGCAGCGTTAGATACTGTTTGAGTTTGTTTGTCTCCTGACTGAACTCATTCTGAAAGTGAAGTTGCATCACATCTAAAACAATGAAAACGTGTTTGACGAGGAGCAAAAATAAGAAATGTTTCAAAAATAAAAGCAGGGTGAGTTTTTTTTTTATGTTTCTAAACTAGCAATACTTCAGTTCAGCCTGACGCAGGGGGCAGGTTAGGACGTCTCTGCAGAAACGGAAAGCGTGTGATGTTTGTTCTTCAGCATTGTTTCCACTGAAGAGTCGGTTTGAAACAGTTTGAAGATCTGACAGAAAGCTGCTGCGCCGACACTCCCGCCGTGTGATAACCGCTTTCATCATGACTCAGGTTTCATTCAGAGGAAATCTAAATATCATTGAATGAGGGAGGCGCCGTGGTGATGCGTCCAATGACACAGAAGCATCCAGGAAAGTTGAATCATTCGAGGGAGGAATCGTGAAGCGGACTGAGTCACTATAAACCGCCGCTGTTATAAAAGGAAATGTTAGAATAAATGAATTTAAGTGAGTGTTGCTTCAAAGTCCTTCTGCTCTGATAGATCGTTCTCCTGTTCTTTCATCCTCTTCAGTTTATTCTTTTATAAAAGCCTAACGCTGTAAGATGAGATGCATGTTGTGTTTACACTGTGGTAAACCATCCTGCAGCTGATATTCCTCCACTATTTTATCCCTTCTAATTCATTTATGAGTGTATTTGACGGGGACAGAGCACCTTGATCAACATCATTCAAAATGTAGGAATTAAACATGCCACACTTAACTGGTATGATAATATTCATTCATTGTCCCCTGGCAGGTTATAGAGACTTTAAAATATAATCATCTACGGAGGCGGGACGGTTTCAGCTGGGGAGGGTAGTCCGGTGTGTGTGAATGTGTCTATGTGAAACTCCCGCTGTGCTGTGCTGCTTGCAACTTTAGCCGTTTTCACACTCCTGAAAATATCCAGATAATTTAACCTAGCTGTTCACACATGCTCCTCACAGCTGGAGACTTTCCCTGTCAGACGGGAAGGGGGGGCGAGGGGGGTCTCCTGAGGTGAGACGTTAAAAACAATGCGGAAGTATCGCATGAAGCATCAGAGTCCTCTATACGACGCTATAATGAGAATATCTGTCTTTCTATGAATGCTACATGTAGTTCAACAGAAGTACAATCTGAACTAAAGAGTGGAGAAGAACATCCTGGAGAACAGGAAACATAATGCAGCAGGTTAAATGACTCGTGTGTTGACGTGATGTAACCAACGGAATAATACGTTTTTAGTTTGAAAAGTTGCAGCATATTTTTGTTTTATATGAAATATTAACCAGCAGGAACATCCACGCCGTGCGGGACAGGTTTTCAATAAGCAAAGTCAGACCTCTCACCAGAAGCTGCTCCACATCCCATTTCATAAAGTTCATCAACACGTGAAGCGTTTCATGGAGGAGCTCTGTTTTATCGTAATGTTTCTGTGCATGGCTCTTAAATTATTCTTACTATGGCTCTCATGAGCTGTCAGCTGACCTCGGGGCTCGTACACATGGACGTGTGTCTCCTCGCTTGTTTATATCTGATAAAGAGCCGGCGGCGCGAAATGTCATGTGGTGATGAAGTGCATTCAGTGAGATTTAGAGCAGCTTGTGGTGTATGGACGACTTCTTCCTTTTATGTTTTTTAAAACATCTGTGTCTCTATAGATTCTTGTATGAAGGTTTACCAGTTTAATGAAATGTATTTTAATATTATTATTTTTTCAATTTCCTGTAGTGTAGTGCACATTTTCCAGGTATCAGGGATTCTAGGAAACGCGCTCTGACCAGACTGTAGAATTGTTTTTCCACATGAATCATGTCTTGTCAGCGTGTCCGTCTGAAGCTGACCTGTGTCTGAATGATTCTTCTGTTTGAGTGTCAGCTGATCTGCAGCTGCCATGTCGCTCTGTAAAAGCGCCTTTATGCTTTATTTGAGCGAGTTTGTAAATCATGAACAGATCGGGGGCGCCGGATGGCCTAGCGCTGGTGTCGCACGCCCCATGTGCGGCGGCTTCAGTCCTCGTTCCAGCAGCCATTGGTTCAAATCTGACCTCTCTCGTCCCGACGTTTCCTGTCTCTCTCTCTCTTCAGCTCGCCTCTCTAATAAATGACAAAAGGCCTCAAAATAACTTTAAAAAAAAAATAAACAGATCAGATTACACAGGCGCTCCTCCTCTGTGTTTCCTGTGTTTTTCTTGGAGGTTGTATCAAACATTTCCCAGAATATTAGTGTGATTTAAAAAAAAATGCTCCGTCCATTTGGTATGAAGTGAGCTGTTTGTTCTGGGCGGAGGAATAAAGTCAGAAAACTTGTTTTTGTTAATGAGGGCGTTCCTCTGCAGTGTAGAGACAATGTGACTGCTTAGATCATCTCAACAAAAAGTCAAATAAACCGTCCAAGTGTCTGTTAGTCTGCTGTTCACACTGTGTGTGTGTGTGTGTGTGTGTGTGTGTGGTTGTGTGTGTGTGTGTGTTGTGTGTGTGTGTGTGTGTGTGTGTGTGTGTGTTGTGTGTGTTGTGTGTGGTGTGTGTGTGTGTGTGTTGTGTGTGTGTGTGTGTGTGTGTGTGTGTGTGTGTGTGTGTGTGTGTGTGTGTGTGTTGTGTGTGTGTGTGTGTGTGTGTGTGTGTGTGTGTGTGTGTGACCTAACATTACTGTCCTGCTGCCTCTCAGATGACTCTGACGTCTAACAGAAGAGAGGGGATTTAATTTCTGGGAATTATTTGATTCAGGATTTATTCTGAACTTCAGATTTATTAGAATAAAACTAATTTCTTTGTTTAGGGTCAGAAATCATTTAGTATGAAGTCAAACTGGTTTAAACTGGACCTGATAAGCAGCTTGTGATGCGTTAGGAAGATGACAAAGAAGTAGTCTGTCTCCAATACTCTGAATGATGATCTATCATATGTGAACAGTCAGGTCAGGAGAATATCCAGAGCAGTCCTCTGAATATGTTTTCTAGGAGTGATATGTGAAAACAGCAGGGGTCTTCTTGTCCCTTAACTTGAACCCAGGAGCTCAGCGGGAATTAAACACTTTAAACAATCAAACCAACAACATGTTAGTCCATTGACTGGCTCACTTCTTGTTTGTTGCTCTCTGTTTAAAATAATCCATGAAAACTGTCAAATATTATTGTAAAAACAGACAAAAGGAGAAAACCACAGTGAACCTTCATGTAAGAATGTAACGAGCTGAACCCTGATCTGTGTCTTTGTCTGCAGCGATGGTTCATACCCCTACGACCCCTCCAGCTGGCAGCAACAAACCAATCAGCCCACAGGATCACTCTCCGTGGTAACCACCGTCTGGGGAGTCACCAATCCCTCAGCCAGCCAGGTATGACATCACCAAACAGGAAGTTTGAATTTATTTATTAAAATATCTTTAAGTCGAGCTTGAAGGAAACATGTTGATTTGAACTGTGTGTCTTGTTGTCCTTAAGGGTCTGGGTGGAGGAGTGATGGGGCCAGGGTCGAACCAAGGAGGGGGACCCATGATGCAGGGCCCCGGGGGTCCGGGAATGGCCGGGGGACCTGGAGGCTACATGGGCCAGCAGGGCTACGGAGAGCCAAACAAAGGCTACATGAACCAGGGCATGTACGGCCGGACGAGTGGGGGCTACGCTGGAGGACCGGGGGGGTACGCAGGGAGGTGAGTGTGTGTTGGTGAATTCAACAGAGCCTTTACACATGCATAGAATAATATACATGAGATTCTTATTTTGGTTTTATACTGTTTGATAATTTACTCAGAAATAAAGACGTGTAGTCGATCTTTCACTGTATGAAATAAATATAAACAACTCTTTTTTTTCTTGTCCTCAGTTACCAGTCGAACCCCGGAGGCTCTCGAGGCTCGGCCGACTTCACTCAGGCAGCTGCTGCTGCAGCAGTCGCCGCTGCTGCTGCCACGGCAACGGCCACGGCCACGGCAACAGTCGCCGCCATCCAGGAGAAACAAAACCAGGAAATGAACTACGGACAGGTGAGGAGAAGAGAGGGGTCACAGGTGATTGTTTTTGTGGTGTTTGGTTGGTGAGAGCTCCCCCTGCTGGTGACTTCAGGTGTTGTCATGATTTTATTTTAATTATTTCGGGTTGATCATTTATTCATGTTCACACCTGTGAGCCTCCACCTGAGCTTCAGGTGTCTCATGTTACACTAACTCATGATACAGTGTGTGTTTGTGTGTGTTTGTGTGTGTGTCAGATGGGAGGTCCAGCCTATAACAACCAGTTCATGGCTCACTCCGGCCCCCGCGGACCCCCTGGCATGGCCCCTGGAGGTATGGGCCCCGGTCCTGGACCTAACAGAGGACCCCCCACAATGGGCCCAATGTACGGACCAGGAGGCGGCCCCCAGAGGGTCGCTCAGCATCCAAACTACGGCCCTGGACCACAGCAGAGCCACCTGAGGCCGCCACAGGGTCTCAAACGGCCGTACAGCTCTGAGGTGAGTCAGGAGGTCGTCGGTCATTTAGACCTAAAAAGATTAGAAATAAGAACATTAAACTTTAAGGAATATAAAAACGCTCTCACACGTATTCTTCTTGTCCCTCTTTGGTCCTCAGTCGTTCCAAGGCATGCCTCAGCAGTACGGCGTCCCCGTTGGTTCTAATGTGAACGTGATGCAGGGTTCTGGTGGTCCAGGTGGTTCTATGCCAGGATCAGGTGGTGGCGGCCATGGTGGACCCGGCCCGTACTCTGGCCCCGGCATGCAGTACCACCCAGGTGAGAAGACTGAAGCAGGTGTTAATGACACTTATTGCAAAGGGAATGTCAACAAGATGACTCCTGTTGATTTTATATAAACCAATCTAACCACTAAATGGTTTAGCCTAGCTTAGCACAAACACTGGAAGCGGGGGGAAACGGCTAGCCTCTAAAGAGAGATCGTATCGGATGTTCTCCACAGGTGTATTAGTCATGCTTCAGGGTCTTTTCTGTCCACAGGTCCTGGTGGTCCAGGCCCCGCCCCACAGCGCTCTGACTCTTCCCCCTCGTACCAGACCCACAAGATGCCCCTCCAACAGTACCCGCCCTCTGGACCCCCAAACCCACAGTACTACAAGGTGAGGAGAGTCGACCACACCTGTGCGCAATCTGTCACTCTCTAAATAATAATAACAAAAGATGACGTCAAGGCTGGCGAGGAATCATGGGAAAAAGTTGTTCATACATCACACCAGTGTCCTCACAATATTTATAATTTGGTAAATTTGTCCAGTGGCCTCAATAATCTGAACAGTGAACTAAAGATATTTTATTTTGTCTTCTGTGTCTGTGCAGCAGGAACAGTTCAATGGTCAGGGTGGAGGTTTAAACTCTCTGACAGCAGGGGGCACTGGCGGCGTCTACAACTCCTTCAACCAACCGTCAGGGGTAAGACAAACTCTGAAGGCCTGTTTGGAGAAACTGACAACTGGAGATTCTTGTGTCACATAATTCATGATTATATGATAAATTATTTTACATTAGGACTAAAGAGAAGTTAAATAAGCTCTCTCTCTCTCTCGCTCTCTCGCTCTCTCTCTCTCTCTCTCTCAGCCGGGTCGAGGGTTGCCAGGTTACCCCTCCTCCCCTGTACCTGGAAACCCGACCCCTCCAATCACCCCCAGCAGCTCCATGGCCCCGCCCTACATGTCGCCTGGCAACAGTGACGTCAAGCCGAACCCAGCTTCCTTCCTGCCCGACATCAAACCCAACATGGCCGGCCTGCCTCCTCCTCCTCCAACAGGTACACACACACACACACACCACGTCATCAGTAATAGAAGGTAATGAAAATATTAAGAGTCAACAACATGAACAATATGATTAATACGTACCTCCATCTTTTGGTTTTCTGATGGGCCGGGCCGTTGGATTGTTTTTGTTTTTTTCCACATTTTTCTTTAAAGGAAACTTTTACAGGAACAGCAAGGACACCTTTATTCTTTTTCTTAATGACTCAGTTTCTCAGGTGTATCATGTGTCACAAAAGGTGTGACAGTGTCTGACTGTGTTGAGTTCTTGTTTTCTAGGTAACCCTAGCGACGACCTGCGGCTGACCTTCCCGGTGCGTGATGGTGTGGTTTTAGAGCCGTTCAGATTAGAGCACAACCTGGCTGTCAGCAATCATGTCTTCCAGCTGAGAGACTCCGTCTACAAAACGCTCATCATGACACACACACACACACACACACACACACACACACACACACACACACACACACACACAGTCCTCTGCTGGCCTTAACACTGATCGAGCTGAGGACTCCTTTGACAAAAACATTGAAGCTGTTGTCACACATGCACTCCTGAAAATTTCTACAGAATTTCAGGAGGACTGCCTCTGAAATCCTCCTGATCTAATCGTTCACACACACACACCTCACAGCGGGAGACTGTACCTGTCGGATGGGAAGGGGGCGGGGGTCTCCTGAGGAAAGACATGACATATAAAGAACTATGTGGAAGTTGTGGACAAAGTTAAAGTTAAACACGAGGAGTCTGGCAGGAGAAACTCCGGATAGTAAAGTATTAATAAGGTGATTTTTATATCAAGAAAGGCTATGATTCAAGAATGATTTGGGGTCTGGAGAAACTCTGGATAAAGTCAGAGTGACAAATGTGGCTGTTTTTGCGTTCACACATGCTGCACACCCTGAAAACTTTAGTAGTTTTGTGTGCCTGTGAAAAGACTACAACTAAAGCAGCTGTAAATGAGTAACTGTCTTTCTCTGCAAGGTGAATCACTGTTTTTGTCAAAGGTGTCTGGTTGATTCTTTGAAGGGAGCGATGTGAAAGCTGTTTCTGGTTTGAGATAAAAAAGGAACTTACTTTTAAACAAAACGGTTTTCCTCCTGGGATTCTTCCTGTGATAAATTCTGACACTTTGAATAAATATCTGAGTCTGTCTGTGACAAAAACAAAGAAGATTTGTCCCCCAGGACCACATTAAAGATGCTTTTTGTAAAGTGTCTCTAGATAACACTTATGAGTTGATGCTATACAAATAAAAAAAGACATTACACGTCATCAATCTTCTCTAGAAGCTCCCCATTGCACACCGTCTCTCTGAGGCATGCGTCAGTCAAGAGTGTTTAAAAAGTATATTTTATATGTATATTGATAAATGTTTGCGTGCTTGTTTCAGACCGGACCTGGAGCTGCAGTTTAAGTGTTACCACCACGAGGATCGACAGATGAACACCAACTGGCCAGCCTCCGTCCAGGTCTGACCTCCATCCTCTTTCTCTCATCTTCTCTCAGAACCAGTTTGTCCTGCTCTTGATTTTTGTTTTTTTTCCTGTTTTATTTACTCTTCTTCTTCCTGCTCAGGTGAGTGTGAACGCCACCCCTCTCACCATCGAGCGAGGCGACAACAAAACCTCCCATAAGCCTTTGTACCTGAAGCAAGTGTGTCAGCCGGGCAGGAACACGATCCAGATCACCGTCACCGCCTGCTGCTGTGTAAGAACTCCTCATATTTCACACATCTACAGGTGAACTTCATGTACTGCTGGGTTTAACATACCTCTCTCTCTTTCCGTCTCTCTCTCTCTCTCGCCCTCCCTGCAGTCTCACCTGTTTGTGCTCCAGCTGGTTCACCGTCCGTCGGTCCGCTCGGTGCTGCAGGGTTTGATGAAGAAGAGGCTGCTGCCTGCAGAGCACTGTGTCACTAAGAGTAAGTTCCTCCACCAAACCACCAATCAGATCATTCTGGTTGATTTAGGACTGACTGCAGTTTGTCCAGTGTAGCGTCTTTTCAACCAATAGAAATGAAGATCACAACAAATCACTCATCCTTTATTTTTAATTAATCCGGGAGCGGAGTCGCTGAATGTTTCTAACTTAACTTCGAATGGAGAGACATAAACTGCAGATATTCTAACATTTTGAGAAATGCTCATTTTGATGAGCAGTGTGCCGAGGCGTTCGGTTGTTTCACCCGCAGCTTCATGGCTCGTTGAGTCTATTTGACGGTTATTCTTAAGCCTGGTTTAAACTTCTGGTCAAATCTTCACCGTAGTGTCCTAAGCCGTCGTGTCCTAAGCCGTCGTGAGTGAGCACTACATACTTGTGTGTTGGTGAGTCTGCGTTTCAATAATCCGAGTTAAACAGTCTGATTTCTCTGCTAGTTATATCACCACTTTTTAATCCGCCACATTCTCCGCTTGTTTGTGTACAGTAACCATGGCGACTGAAAACAAGCGTACTATTTTGGAATTGTAGCTGATAAATATTGAGCAGCACTTGGTTATACTGCAACCTTCAATTTTCCCTCTGGACATCAATAAAGTATTATCTGATCTTCATTATTGCAAAGAACAAAAGATGGATGAGTATTCAACTCTATAGCGTTGTTAGCTCAGGCTACAAGTTAGCCAGCGTTAAACACACGGAGGGTCATGTGACAAAGGACATGTATTTATCTACTTGTCATTATCACACTTATAAGACTCTGTTTCCAGATGTCTTACATGTGGGGAAACTGTACACCAATCACAGGACTTACAGTCTGTGTTGTTTCAAAGCGTTGTTACATTTTGAGGAGGTGCACGTCAGTCAGTGTGGAGGAGGGACAGGGTTACTCCTTCAGGTCAGTTCATCAGAATCAGATCAGTGCAGCGTTCACGTTTGTGAAGTTTCAAACAGATCTTCCTCAAGTCTCCGATCTTCTATGATGTAGTTTTGTGTGTGTGTTTGCTGTCTCATGTTCTTAAATGTGTGTGTGTGTTTCAGTAAAGAGGAACTTCAGCAGCGGCACCATCCCTGGGACCCCCGGGTTAAATGGAGAGGACGGCGTGGAGCAGACCGCCATCAGAGTCTCGTTAAAATGTCCCATCACGTTCAGACGCATCCAGCTGCCCGCCAGAGGTCACGACTGCAGACACATACAGGTCAGGGCCACGGCGTTTGTTTTAACCTTGCTTTTATTTGAGGTTTTTACTTTTAATTTTCAAAGGAGCTTTTTAAAAAAATTGAATAAAACAAAACTGGGTCACATCGGGACAACGGGAATATGTAACTTATTTTATATTTGTAGCAAATAATTTCATTCATAAAATGATTTCGAAGATAAACCTCTTAATTAATATGTAACTCTGACCCCTAGTGTTAACAATCGGTACTGCAGTCCAAACTCGAAACATTGGTTACAGAGCTGTCCACGCAGGTCCCTCGAGTCCGTCTGTTTGTAAACTGAGCACGCTTCATAATAACATAAAGCTTTGCATGTGCTGTATTACAACGTTATGTAAAAGAGAGCTTAGGCACGGTTAGTCCTGGTGCAGTGTGACCGCGGACTGTTGAACACACAAGATGATGATTTATCTGTCTTATTTGTGATCCTGGTCTCAGCCTGCCTTGGTCTTGGTCTTGACGGTAGTCCCTGAACCTTTTAGTTCTGAGGACCTTTAGTTGAAAAGAGGCTTTAGAACATGTATACAATTCAACATTACTAACTTCAAAAAGGTTGGGAAAAAGACGTTTGATTTGTCAGCCTAATAAATTTCTGTGTGTGTGTGTGTGTCTGTGTGTGTGTGCGCGCAGTGTTTTGATCTGGAGTCGTACCTGCAGCTGAACTGTGAGAGAGGAACGTGGAGATGTCCTGTGTGCAAGTACGTCACACTCACTCACACTCACACATTGTTTGTATACAAACATTTAAACACATCTTAACTCAACTCCAAAAATCAAAGAGGAAAAATAAAAACTGAGTTTGTTGTTGGTGTTAAAACATTCCGACTTTCCGAACTGAAATCATGTGAACACACTGAAGTCGGAAAAACGACCATCCCATGAGCACCTGAATGCAGCATAACGCCTGTGTGTGTGTGTGTGTCTTTTTGTGTGTGTGCAGTAAAACCGCTCTGTTGGAGGGTCTAGAAGTGGATCAGTACATGCTGGGGATCCTCATCTACGTTCAGAAGTAAGAAACTTTGCTGTCATTTTTCTATCGTTCCTGTTCATTGTTTCCCATCGTTTGGGTTTCTGTCCAGAACGGGGTCAAAGGTCAGGTGTGTTCCTCACACACCTGTAAGCCTGTAGTTCACTCTACGCTCTCAGGCATTCATAAGTGATAGAAACGTGTCAGGAACGTCTTCTCATACAGATTGTTTGTCCTCAGCTCGGAGTACGAGGAGATCACCATCGACCCGGTGTGCAGCTGGAAGCCGGTCCCCGTGAAGCCCGACATCCACGTGAAGGAGGAGTCGGACGGTCCCGTGTTGAAGCGCTGCCGGACACTCAGCCCGAGTCACATGGTCCTGCCCAGCGTAATGGAGATGATCGCATCGCTAGGCCCCTCCTCCTCCTCCAACCCTGCCTCCGCCTCCTCCCCGATGCCCTACCCGTCCCTGTCTGCAGGGGGCAGCAATAACAGCAACAACACACCAGACTACCCCGGACCAGGTAAACAGGAGCCGCGACACTGACCTTCAAAAGAGCCGATGGATGTTTTAACAGCAGAGTAACGTCAGGAAAACAACATCCATTAACCTCCTCCTATTATCTGTATTGGTCCAGGAAACATCAATAATCAATGATGTCATTACGATAATGATATCCTCCTTTAATGTATAAGTGCAACTTTAATGCACATGGAAGGTCTGCAGTTCATTAATGTGAGATGACGATGGATCTCTGATAAAACATTCAGGTGGAGGTGACGTAAACACGAGTCTCTCTTAACGTCAGGCTCAGACCTTTGACTTTATTATTACGGCGTAAAGAGACAATGAGGGGTTGTCCGTCAGAGGTGCTGCTTGGGGCCCCAGACCAGTAGGGTGCCTGGACGCTAACGTACTACTTGATCATAAAAACCGATAAGCTACTGAAAAGAGAGTTCTGATGTAATGGCTGACCTACTTACTAAAACGATCAGAGCCGATGACAGAGACCTCAGTGTTACCCGGGTTGAGATGGAGGAAGTTGTATAAATTCTCTCTCTCTCTCTCTCTCTCTCTCTCTCTCTCTCTCTCTCTCTCTCTCTCTCAGCTCCGTCCTATCCCAGTCAGTCTGCTGGTTTCTCAGACTTCAGTGGTCCTGGGACTCCGGGAATGGGGGGGGATTTCTCCTCCCCAGGTCCTCCCCCTCTCTCCTACCAGTCTGAGCTCTCCAGCGCCCTCCTCACCCCCGACAAACCTCCCCCTCATCCGCTGGCTGGACAGGTACAGTGATGACATCATCATCATGTTTTTTAGTTTTTTTTTTAAAGAATAGAAACATTGTGAATCAGTAAACTGCACCTCCCTCTCTCCTTTCCTTTCCTTCACTCCATATCTACTCTCCTTCAATGTCTCCTTTCCTTCCCTCCATCACCTCCTCTCCTTCCATCTCTTCTTTCTTTTCCTTCCCTCCATATCTCCTCTCCTTTCCTTCCCTCCATCACCTCCTCTTCTTCCCTCCCCAATTCCTCTCCTTCCATCTCTCCTTTCCTACCCTCCATATCTACTCTCCTTCAATATCTTCTTTCCTTCCCTCAATCACCTCCTCTCCTTCCATCTCTTCTTTCCTTTCCTTCCCTCCATATCTCCTCTCTTTCCTTCCCTCCATCACCTCCTCTCCTTCCCTCTCCCAATTCCTCTCCTTCCATCTCTCCTTTCCTACCCTCCATCTCTCCTCTCCTTCCATATCTCGTTTCCTTCCCTCAATCGCCTCCTTTCCTTCCCTCCTTTTCTCCCCTCCTTCCGTCTCTCCTTTCCTACCCTCCTCTCCTGCCATCTCGCCTTCATCACTTTCTTTTCTTTATTTCTCTGTCTCCTTTTTTTTATTCCTTTCTTACTTCCTCTCTCTCAGATGTCGGTCTCAGGCCGTCTGGACTCCACTTCCCATGGTGCTCCTCTCCCCCAGCAGCAGTCGCAAGGTCTCCACGGCAACTCCCAACTGGGGGCTAACAACCAGATGATGCAGCGTAGCAACCAGAATCCCCGTCTCCAAGGCGACAGCTCCTTTGGTCTGGGAGGATCCTCGGAGGTTCCAGAACCTTCTCTGGACGTGAGTAAAACCCGGACAGAGACTGAAATCAGGTTTATCAAATAGCCTAGACAGCTGATTTTCACAGAGGTCCTGCCTCTGATTTGGAAAATAGCCATTCTTAGATTGGAATTTTTGGGTGGCACATGGGGTGGCCAATCAGATTTCAAGGCGCTGAGCCCACCCCTCTGGCCACGCCCCTGAATATATAAAATACGTTGGACCCAGGCTCATCCTGAGTCTGTGTCAGAGATTTAAAGAGACAGAGACGTGGTTCTGCTGTTTGAATCAGACTAACAGACATGTTTGTTTCTACAGTTGCTTCCAGAGTTGACCAACCCTGACGAGTTGCTGTCGTACCTCGGACCTCCGGACCTCCCGAACAACAACAACGACGACCTGCTGTCGCTGTTCGAGAACAACTGAACACTCTCACACACACACACACACACACACACACACACACACACACACACACACACACACACACACACACACACACACACACACACACACACACACACACACACGAACATACTTTCAGAGACTTTAGTGTATATTACAAACTCTTTCTCTCCTCGCCCGCCAACATGACGCGCGGTCCAACATGGCCGCCGTCTGCACAGGACGGAGCGGACGATCAGAAGGAAACAAACAACCTTTTCAAAATCGTTAATGTGTGACTATGAACTTGATGGTAACTTTATTTTATTGTTTTTTTTTTTTTTTTATCCTCTGAAACTGTATTTTGATGTTTCATCCTTCATTCCCAGTCGACAAAATATTTAAAGTGACGACGACGCTGCTGCTTTAACTACACACACACACACACACACACACACACACACACACACACACACACACACACACACACACACACACACACACAGTCACTGCTGAAACTCTCCAAATCACCCGTGTTTGTTTTTTAAATCTCACAGGTTCAGTGAGTTTCTAAGAGCGATGAATCGGTCAGTCGGGGTTGAAGAGGTTCAGCAGTGATGAGCTGTGGCTGTGTTTGTAATTAAAGAGCGGTATGGTCCTTTAAAGGCGGAATATTTCTGCTCCATGAGACTTTTAAATGTGTCGGTATAAACAATCCAAGATGAGCTTTAAAGGAGTGAAGGTGAGATGTGGAGACTCTGAAGACGAAGAACTGTTGAGAAACTTTCATTTACACTCAGCCACAGAGAAAACGCTTCACTGTGAAGATCCTTACGGCGTGTGTCCACCTGGCGTTTTCTTCAGGGAGTAAAACGCTGGCTGTGCGCTAAGAATAAAAGCTCTGCACGTGTATCATGTCTCTATGACATCGGTCTCTAGACTACAGCCGCTGTATGACTGACACTGCTCTGTTGATTTTTACTGTATGTTTTATATTTCCTTCACTGAGCATCAAACGGAGGAGGTCTGCCTCCGATGTTGACTGGAGGATGAGCTTAATAGTAGTAATAATAATAATAATAATGGCCGCCCAGCAATCCTAGTTCTGATCATACACGGAACAAAGAGGATTTTGTTACAAGACACAATCTGTAGACAAAAGAGACAAAAATAAGAGGACTACATGATTGGCTGGAGCGGCCACACAAAAAAAGGGCGGAGCGCTTGGTAAGAGGACGCTGAGTGCTGGCGGTCGCCACCTGCTGCTGCTGCAAACGCTCTCTTTGTGTTAGGAACAATTTAAAAAAGATTCTGCCACGCAGAAAAAAGACGCCAGGTGGACGCAAAACTTAAGTTCAAAACCATCAAATAAGGATTTTATCAAAGATTCCAAAAACACAGAACTGCTGATAAGTCATCAGAAAATAAATAAACTTCATGTGTTTGACGTTATGTAGAAATATTTTCAAAGATTAATCTAAAAACACTCAAAACTACGGCAGACAATGAGGGCCAAATTAAAGAAATATAATCTGAAATTTTAGGATTTAATCGTGATTTGACAAGATTATAGTTGTAAGAGAATAAAAATGTAATATTAGGAGAATAAAGTCTTAATGTTGCAATATCAAAGTCATAAATGTTTGGCTGTGGTTAGCCTGTATTTTATTTTGAAAGGGCATATCAGGAGAGAAGCCAGTCGCCTGCACTATAAAGAGAACTGTTGAGCATCTTGTGAATTTATACTTTAGTTAAAGTTTTTCAAATAACTGAACACTTCCTGTTTGTCGAGCAGGCGGCTGGTCACTCTTCTTGAAAAAAAGCAAACAGGCTGAAATAATGACTTCTTTTCAGGTTGTTTTTCACACAAATTACAATTTAAATCTCCAGCTATATTTTACTCTTGAGTGCGGCCCTCTTACTCCATCGTACTAAATCACAGAAACAGAGGCGCAGATTGTTTCTTTAATCTGTTTGAATCTGATTTTGAGCTTCAGTCACGAGAGAGATCCATCACATGCCGTGTGTGTTTCAGTGTTTGAGGATTAATGCTGTTAAACTTTTAACAACAAAGATGACGAGGATCAATCAGTGAGTTGATTGGTCCACAAAAAAAATAATCAGCAGCTCTCTTCAAAATGCATATTTTTACAATGAATTGTCCCAAAAAATGTGAGAAACATCCGTTTAGTAAAATGTGAAAAAGGAGATTTGAGTGATTGGAGGAGTGTGGTCGTGTCCGATTTGATGAGGGATTGCACTCTACTTTTAAATTTCACCTACGCTGTTTGTCGTTGGCGGTCACAGTAGCTGCACCTTTAATCTCAGATCCACCCTAAGTCATTTTTTTTCTAGATCAGCGCCTGAGCCTGACTCTTTTTTTTGAAAAGTTTCTGAAACGAGAAGAATTAGTTCAGAGTTGAGTGATACAGAATGAGGAATGTTTCAGGTCTGATTTTAGTGAACAATCGAGGACGTCCACCACATATGCAGAGTTTAAGTCCAATGTGAAGCCATAGGTCAAAAGTGACTTTTTACATCAGGTGTGTAAAGTACGTTTTGTAGTCAATAGTTTGAGCAGCCCTGAGATCTGACTGACTTACATCATGGCTGCTGCCTGACGCTTTGACCTGACCAGTCGGCTCGTTTGTGTTTTTATCTTTATTTTCTTTTATTGATTAAAATAACATGAAGCTAAAGTGACTTTAAGAGACAAACAATAGGAGATACAGTAAGGGAAGTTTTTCATAAGATAAGTTCAAAAAGGAAATCATTGGCAGGTTGTTTAATGATCAATAGTTTCTGAAAGTACTCAAGCTTTAAAAAAAACTCTGGTTTAAGGGGATGTTTTTAACCCAAAAGTGCTGCGAGCTAAACAGAGAGAGAGTACTGTCTACATGTTTTGTTTCTTAACCGAAACGTTGCAAATCTATTCGTTAAATTTGGACAGTGGGCAGGAGTTTACAGGCGTCTTTGGGTGATTTAAAAAATTGTTTTTTTACGAATACTGGTTGCGTTAACGAAACTGTTTGTATTTTACTAGAATAACGACTAAATTTAAGAAGCAGTAACCGTGACAACCCTAACCTGCAGGGGTGGCCCTTGACTTACGCAGGGGGGGGAGGGGCATGAAGTTTGTGGTTACACATACACAAATTAATTAAAAATGTTTGAATCTTTCTAAACCCACAAACTTTAAGTACTAGTAAGAAACACAATTTGGCAAAATATAAATCTTTAGTTTCTTTATGGACTCAAAAACTAAGATATATGAGCAAATTTGAAAGTACTTAAAAGGATTGCATGCTTACTGTCGCAACGCTGTCTAATTTACAAAAATACATTTATTGGCAGGGTAGACGATGTGTGCTAGTGTTTGCTTTGGAGTTTTTATGGAAAGAACAAAGTCATTTTAAAGTAAAACTGAAAGTACTAACAGCAACAAAATACAACATTACATGTAAAGAAAACTATCGGCAGCCTTTTGAAAACAACCAGAATAGTTGATTTCAACTCAAGTCCACCCTCTGATTAGGCGAATAGCCAATCATTGATTTGGACTCTGGGGTGGCCAATCAAATTAAAAGGGAGGCAAATGCCACCCCTCTGGACACGCCCCTGCTGACATGCACGCATTTGGATCTAGTGGTAACACATCACTCGGACAGATACGTTTCACTAACGGGCCAGAAGAAAAGAAGCACCAGAGAATATTTGAAAGAGAAATGAGGATGAGAGCAGAAACTAAAACTCTGCATGTTGTGTGTTTTCTCTCTCGTCTGTGGCTGAGTGTAAATGATTTCACATGACATAAAAACTGATTTTTTTTTTTTAAATAGTAAAGGGGCCAAAATGATTTAATTCGGATCTCTGTCATTGTTGTCTTCACTCCTGCAGTCGAGCGTTCAAGCAAGGAGTTCTTGGATTTCAGGGCAACTTTATGAGGCAAAGAGAGAAGAAAAAATGAATTTAAATGAAAGTCGATGAGAGGATTGTTGTTATTGCCTCAAACGGTTGCCCTGAGCCCAAAGAGCTCCTCGACCAGTTTGTGTATGTAATATCTGATGGTCCATCTTCACCCCCTCCCCCTCCCCCTCCTCGTTCTTCTGTATGTTGTAAAGTGACTCGAGTCCAGACAAGTCGTGGTGTCTCCGTGTCCCTGTGAGTTCTCCGGCTCCTGGAACGAATAAAGCTATACATGATCACACTGTATGATTCAGTAATGATGCTAATAATAACAGCAACAATATTATTAATAATAATAATAATAATAATAACCTTTGTAATTTAATAAACACACACTGGAAAGACACGCAGAGGACAACATGTGCTGATTTGTGTGAAAGATGAAAGGAAGTGCGAAGAAGCATCCGGGAAAACTGGAGAGAAACACATTAAATAAAAGGTGATTTGTTTTATTTATTTCTGCAGCAACTAATACACAGAAAACCAATCAGAAACTATTTATTAAAATCATAATCAGAAATATTTTTACTAATTCCTGGTGGAAAAAGAAGGGTGTACAATTGCCCCTACACAGAACATAAGCCTGTACGTATAAAATATATATATGAGATATGAGGGAGAAATATGCAAATGTCAATTATATGTACAATAAAGACAAAAATATACAAAGAATAACTAAGTATAGCAACAAGTGTGGTACATGGTAAATGGAGTAGATGAAAAAAGCAGTATGCACAGCCTCGTCTCTGTGAGCATCAACGACAGGTTGTTAAAAGGTCATTGATCGAAACCGGGCCCCCTGTAATCCTCCACCAGCTTCCTGTATTTTTCAGAACCCCACAGTTCAAACGCTCACCTCTATCTGGAAACCTGAGAAAACCTCTGAACAGACTGGACTGAATGAGACCTGCTTGGTTGCAGAGGCGCTGCTTGTTAACAGGCAAAGCAAGCCGCCTTAGGGCTCACAAACTAGTTTTGCAACAAAAGTAAAATCCTCCCTGAGGGGGCCCCAACTGAGAGCAGTCACTCTTGTTGCCTTGCTGAGCATTGCATACATTATTGCTGTGAAAACCAAAGTTTGTCGATGAAAGTAAACAAAGATAAATGAAGGGGAATTATCCGTCTTTACCGTCTTTAGGAGAGAGGGCCCCCCAATTGATTTTTGCTGGTGTAACATCCTTTACGCTAACTGAAGCACACATTTTACAGATTAAAGCGTCAGGTACAGCCAACATCAGAACAGCTTATTGTGTCCGTTTGGAGCAGACACTCAATGTTTACGGCAGGTTTAATAACTTTACTGTTCGTTTTTTTGTCATGTTTTTGCCTTTCTTCCTCTACTCTGCTAATCCAGTTGAAAATCAAACAATCTTTATTTGTAAAGCGCCATTTCATCACAAATGTTATCTCAAGACACTTTAGAAAAAGAGCCTCGACTGTTCCATGCCATATATTATTTATTTATAAAGACCCAACATTAATCCAGCATGAGCACTATAAGTAACATTTAGAAAAGTTACAGAGGCAAGAAAATAAACGTCCTTTTAAGGGGCAGAAACAGACTCATGTTGAACAGACGTCTGCAAACACTGACGGTTTGTCCCATCTGTTCACATGGAGGAGGCAGGGTTTATGACTTAAGCCAGGTGTACAATGTACTATTTCAAGCCAATTCAGACCGGATTTTTTGAGTCTTATGACTAATTTTAAGGTCAGACTGAAATCCAGCCCAATCGGGTGTCATTGATGGCGCAGTGTACACTGAGGCTTGACACCGATCAGCTGATCTAGACCAGTAGGATGGTTTTCTGGCAAGTTTGATATTTTGGTCGAACAACTGCACGAACACTGGTGCAGTGAAAGCAGAGCCACAAACCGAGTCCTCGACTGAAAGGAATTATTGGTTATGATTTAGATGCTACAAGCTTGTGTTCATTATTGATGCTGAGTGTGTGAGAGAGAGAGTGAGTGTTTTTGTGTGGGTACATGAGCTGTGCATATGAGACAACTGAAAAACACATGGGGCGGCTGTGGCTCAGTTGGTAGAGTCGGTCGGGGGTTCGATCCCCAGCTCCTGCAGCCACATGTCCGATGTGTCCTTGGGCAAGACACTTAACCCCAAATTGCTCATGCTGCTTCAGCGGCTGCATACTGTACATGTGTATGAATGGGATTAGTTACTTCTGAAGAGTCAAAAGAGTAGAAATGCTCAAGTCCATTTACATACAGTACATCTGACTTCAACCTCCAACTGGGTGAGTTTTTTATTGACAATCATGAATGCTCCGCCCGAGTCCAACTTAAACCCGTACAGTGTGAGCACTCAGGTCGTGCTGGACAATCTTGTCGTACATTGTGAGCAGCACATAAATCGTAAGCTCTTGCTGAGTGACGTAAACGATTCGATTGTACAGTGTGAGTTGACGTTCCACCTTGACACTTCTACAATAGTACAGTATACGCCGGGCTTTACTGCAGGCAGTCAGCGGGCAGAGCTCTAAATATAGGTCTACTGGCTTCATACAGGCACCTGTTACGCCGTCCATCTTAATATGAAGTTTACTGAATGGTGGGGTTTAGAAACTTAGCCAAGCCCAGATCCGGTTTGTCCTTTGACATGGGTTGCCAAGATAACTGAAAGCAAAACATTAGAAAGCAAAGGCAAAGAGGATCACGATTAGCTAGTAAACACAGATAAAGAAAAACAGGATTTGATTTCTAAGTTCTGCTTTATTAAATGATTTATATAGAAGGTAAATACATCAACCATGTTCCTAAGGATAAACACAATGTGCTCCTGTAAAAAAAAACAACCTTAAAGTCAACAGAACAACAGAGCAGATTTAAATCAACAAGTTTGAAAATTTGGACTTTTGAACTCATGAGAATGTACACACGTAGCTCTTGAGCTTTGAGCTTCCCCTTTGTGCTGAAGTGAGGCGCCGACTGTAATAAAACAAAAACAAAGACTATAAGAGGATAGAGTACGTACCACAGCATGAAAACATTGCTTAAATTAAGTTGTTTAACTCGTATGATCATTCAGATAAACACTAGAAATGGTTCAAGACGTTTATTTGAAAAGCTGTTTTCCCTGTTAGCTGCTGATAGATCAGCATGGCTAGCGTTACGTTAGCTTCTTGAATAATGTTATAGCTAAACCGGCGGTCTATCAAATAGTTCTAGCCTACCCATCGATATGTGCTAGCATGCGGCCCTGTGCAGTACAGTGAGCATAAATTGATAACAGCAAATACAGAGAGTAGTGGTGTTTTAAAGTGATTATAGGAGCTTTATTTGATCGGAGATAATTGTCAATTGAGATGCTTCTCCTTAAATCTTAATGATAGAGTTTTGATATTGGATATGGAGAGAGAACTGAATTAATATAGTTTTATTATGATCTGGTAGCATTATTACGGGATACGGATAGCGTCACATCTCGACAGAAAACAGGCTAACATGAGTTTACCAAATCTGGATTCTTTTCTTTATGGTTAAGAGTTTTTAGACGAGAATAAACAATTAAGATTTTAATTTTCAAGGCTGTTGGCTCTCTCATTAGACTTTGCAGTGTAGGCCTGGTGTTCCCATTTTCGACTTGTGACCCCCAAAATAAGGCTGCCAGAGACTGGGGACCCCACTGTCCCTGGAGATGGTTGAGGCAACACACACTAAGGGCGCACTCACGAGGTAATCGTACCGTGCCCAAGCACACTTCACCCCTAAAGTCCAGTTCGTTTGACTGCTCCAATCCGCCCATCCAAACACTGGTTAGTGTCATAATTTACAGTGGGTACGGAAAGTATTCAGACCCCTTTACATTTTTCACTCTTTGTTTCATTGCAGCAATTTGCTAAAATCAAAAAAGTTCATTTTATTTCTCATTAATGTACACTCAGCACCCAATCTTGACAGAAAAAAAACAGAAATGTAGAAATTTTTGCAAATTTATTAAAAAAGAAAAACTGAAATATCACATGGTCATAAGTATTCAGACCCTTTGCTGTGACACTGATATTTAACTTACATGCTGTCCATTTCTTCTGATCCTCCTTGAGATGGTTCTGCGCCTTCATTGGAGTCCAGCTGTGTTTAATTAAACTGATTGGACTTGATTAGGAAAGGCACACACCTGTCTATATAAGACCTTACAGCTCACAGTGCATGTCAGAGCAAATGAGAATCATGAGGTCGAAGGAACTGCCCAAGGAGCTCAGAGACAGAATTGTGGCAAGGCACAGATCTGGCCAAGGTTACGAAAGAATTTCTGCAGCACTCAAGGTTCCTAAGAGCACAGTGGCCTCCATAATCCTTAAATGGAAGAAGTTTGGGACGACCAGAACTCTTCCTAGACCTGGCCGTCTAGCCAAACTGAGCAATCGTGGGAGAAGAGCCTTGGTGAGGGAGGTAAAGAAGAACCCAAAGATCACTGTGGCTGAGCTCCAGAGATGCAGTAGGGAGATGGGAGAAAGTTCCACAAAGTCAACTATCACTGCAGCCCTCCACCAGTCGGGGCTTTATGGCAGAGTGGCCCGACGGAAGCCTCTCCTCAGTGCAAGACATATGAAAGCCCGCATAGAGTTTGCCAAAAAACACATGAAGGACTCCCAGACTATGAGACAGAAGATTCTCTGGTCTGATGAGACCAAGATTGAACTTTTTGGCTTTAATTCTAAGCGGTATGTGTGGAGAAAACCAGGCACTGCTCATCACCTGCCCAATACAATCCCAACAGTGAAACATGGTGGTGGCAGCATCATTCTATGGGGGTGTTTTTCAGCTGCAGGGACAGGACGACTGATTGCAATTGAAGGAAAGATGAATGCGGCCAAGTACAGAGATATCCTGGAAGAAAACCTCTTCCAGAGTGCTCAGGACCTCAGACTGGGCCGAAGGTTCACCTTCCAACAAGACAATGACCCTAAGCACACAACTAAAATAACAAAGGAGTGGCTTCGGAACAACTCTGTGACCATTCTTGACTGGCCCAGCCAGAGCCCTGACCTAAACCCAATTGAGCATCTCTGGAGAGACCTGAAAATGGCTGTCCACCAACGTTCATCATCCAACCTGACAGAACTGGAGAGGATCTGCAAGGAAAAATGGCAGAGGATCCCCAAATCCAGGTGTGAAAAACTTGTTGCATCATTCCCAAGAAGACTCATGGCTGTACTAGCTCAAAAGGGTGCTTCTACTCAATACTGAGCAAAGGGTCTGAATACTTATGGCCATGTGATATTTCAGTTTTTCTTTTTTAATAAATTTGCAAAAATTTCTACATTTCGGTTTTTTTTCTTTCAAGATGGGGTGCTGAGTGTACATTAGAAATAAAATGAACTTTTTTGATTTTAGCAAATGGCTGCAACGAAACAAAGTGAAAAACGTAAAGGGGTCTGAATACTTTCCGTACCCACTGTATCATAAGAAATGCTAGAAGCAGAATACAAGGAATTTCCATATAAAGACTTTAGCACAGAGTGGACATACAAGACTGGACACTAGGTGTTGCATCTCACTGATGCCTACGTTGTTGCGACCCCCCCCCCCTCGGGAGTGTCCCAACGCCGACTTTGGGAACCACTGCAGTAGGCTACTATATTAACTAATGTCTTATAGTTTTTGCACGGACTTGCTCCTCCTCTTTTGAAGGACTTTATAAAGCTGAAGTCTGCCAGTGGGATCGGCACCAGGGGCCACAGCCCGAGGAGACTGTGAGGTCCCATACAGACGCACTACATTCAGACAAACTGTTCTGTCAGTCAAAGGAACTAAATATTGGAATATTCTCCCACTCACAATAAGAGACTCACAAACATATGCAACCTTCAAAACACACCTCAAACAGTGGATAAAAGAAAACCAAGTCTGTGACCACTTTGAACCTTTAACCTCTATTATTGTCTTGTGTCACTTGTGCCTTTGTATTTGTATTTTATTTGTAATTTGTATTTCTCTGTTACCTACCTAGGGACAACAGATAGAAACTAGCACTTCTGCTATAATCTGACATTTTTACAGCTGTTTATTAATATGCACTGTCCCTAACAAATGAATAAATAAAATAGTAAATATAGCCTACACAGGAAGACCCCCTCAGGTCACCTAAGAAAAAAAAAATACACACATCACAAATCTGTATTAAAAGCCTAAAGGTTGCTTCTGGATTAACAGAAGTTTGCCTCCCCCACCCCCTTGCTCCCTATCCCTCTTCCTGCATCTTATCCCATCTCTCCCCCTATCCCCTTCCAAGCCCGGTGCAGTCTAGGCCTGTGAAGGCTGTTTCGTCATGAGCCGGGGATCCGGCCGAAGAGTTCTGCCTTTTAATAAGGCAATTTTTTCTTACCACTGTAACTTTTGCTGCTTTGCTAAAGTGCTCATGATGGATAGGCCGGATCTTTGTAATTAACAATAAGTAAGGTCTTTTACCTGCTTTTTGTAACATAACAATGAGTAAGATCTTTTACCTGCTTTTTGTAAAGTGTTTCGAGATAACATTTGTTATGAGTTGACGCTATACAAATAAAAATTGATTTGATTGATTAACTGATTTGCTAAAAGGGAAGCAATTATGGGCACAGATTGCAAAATATGCTCCACCAGCCCTTTGTCGGACGAGGCTACTTTAGTTTTAAACTACAGTAAACAAACTGTTTTTGTTTTCCCCTGGAAAGAACAAATATTTAACTGTCTGCCTGTAAGTGACAGCGCCCTTATTGTGAGTAAAATATGGTTTGATTCGTCGAACAAAAACTTCAGACGGAAAGTTTTACGATGCGGATGGCGGGACAGACCGCGCCCAAACCAAGCGAGTGCGCGTTCACATTTCCCCTCTCCGGCGGGAGCGCGCACTGACTGCAGGACTTCATGTTCCCGCAGCTGCCCGTGAATCAGGGCGCGCGCTGCTCGCAAACATTTCTGGACCTTTTATTTCTGACCAGGGTAACTGACCGGGGCGGTGTTACATTGTGACGTAGCCTGGCAACGTCTATCCCCCGCCTGAGCTGTACTCTAGTGTATAAATCAAACACACCATGACGAGTAAAAAAAATGCGCTCCTGCTCTTCTGGCTGCTGATTCGCTCAAGCACATGTCAATCAATAGCTCGAGCGGCACCGATTGGCTCACTGCAGGTTTACACCGCCCACCGGCATCTTATATAAAATTAATCCACACACTTCCATCTTTTTCGGATCCCTGTAGCCACCCGTATTATCTCGCCGAAAAACCGTTAGTCCATCCACTCCGACTCAGCCTGCTGAAATGGCCAAACCGAGAGTCTTCTTCGATGTTTCTAATGACGGAAGCCCGATGGGCCGGATCGTGATGGAGGTGAGCGGGCCTCTGGGTGCTTTACAGCCGGGAGTGTGATCACTGTGGACGGGCTTCACGATGTTAGCCGTGAGGAGGGGAGGGGGGGGTTAGACAAGCCGGGGTCTGCTGTGTGTCGTTAGGTGTTATAAGTCACTTCGTATCTTTAAGTTAAACAGTGACTCGATCTGTTCAGAGGGGAAACGTCGCGTTTAGAGCTCACATTATCCGAGCTGTCACGGCCAGGATGGTGCTGGAGACCACGTGTTTGTGGCGTGGAGCCAACTTAACAGATAACGGGTTTTTAACGGCTGATGAAGCGAGAATCCGTGAAGCAGATGAAGATATTCATAAATGTGAATGTAACACGTGTGTGTGTGTGTGTGTGTGTGTGTATATACATGTAGTGTAGTTGAGAAGCCAGCTGCGGTGTCTACAGTGAAAATCTTCAACAATAAGGGAGTCTGAACCATTTAACGAGCTGTTTAAATACATGTGATCACCTCGAGGCCCCGTCGGAGGCCCCGTACTTCATGATGTAGTAATTTAAATGAAGTTCATGATTTAAATAACGCAGTCGCAAAGTAGTGGCCCGCTGTTTCCGCTGGACATCGGACCATCCGAGAGCTGCGCAGAAGGGAAATATAAAAAACGCTTGTGCGCAGCTGTTCTTTGTTGCAGCGTGTAGCGGCCTTCAGTCAGCCCGGGAAACCCCGCTGCTCAAACCACTGTAGTACTTCTTCTTATTGTTGTTAATGTGACTGGAAGTTTATGATTTTTATTTTTTTTACCCCCCCCAATCATAAATGTGCTGTTTGCAGCCGTTCAGTTGGTCAGTGAAGCTAATTACACCGGTTCCGGTGTGAATGGACGAGGCTGCAGTTCTGGAAAGTTCCACGGTGCAGGGGGGGAGGGGAGGGGAGGGGAGGGCTTTCTGTATGACTAAAAAATGCGGATGTAGGGAGAGGGCCGATTCAGCGGCGATACCTTCTGCCGTTTGTACCCACCATGAAGAAGCGTAGTGTTGCATATCTGGTTGTGTGAAGTACAATGGCCCCTGTTGCTACAAAAGGCTGCACATGTAAGGCAGCATGTTTGTAACCTAAGAGCTGCTAGCATGCTAGCTAACCTCAGCCATTTTGTGCACACACAAGTAGCTGTGTCCCATTATGGGCGTCACCTATATGTGGCACGAGCTCTAAGCTAAATGTTAACCCAGAGACCCCCTGTTCCCTGTTCCCTGTTCTGTTGAACAGCTGCAAACTTTGATCATTTTGTATTAGCAATAAGCAACACTGGTATGTGTGCGACGTATTTGGACCTTATGAGACTGTTTTCAGCTGCCTTTCTGCCTGTTTAGTGTGAAGCATTAATTCTGCTGTGTGCAGAAGGTGGCTTTGCATCCCTCATGCAGCCAACTCTTGCATTATGAATGTCTGGTTCCTGTTACTGCCTAGCAGGTGGAAAGAAGGCTGTAACTTAAGATGCTGTTCTGAGACCAGCTGCAGTACTTAATGCACACCAGACTGTCTGCTGCAGCCCCCCCCCACGCACACGCACACACACACACACACATACACACACACACACACACACACACACACACACACATCATGCATCTCTCATCCCTCCCTCTGAACATATTGCATGGTAACATCACTGGTGTGCAGGGCATGCAGATATTTCAGTGTGGTGCAATGCTGCATTCCTCTATCACCTTGACATAAAGCTATTACCACAGACTAACCACATAATTACCTGATCTAATTTAATGGGTGTGGACTGCCACACAAAGTATTTGATATTAATTCAACTTTACACCCTGTACACCTGTTCTTTGTAAATGCAAGGAGTCAAATCTATGTTTAGCTAATGTTTAGAGGGGATGTTTGCCATTCTGAATTTCCAAAATTGCATGGTGTACTGGAATGTAATTTGCATTCATTTTTGCAAGGGGTCATCTGTAATTTCCTGCAGTTGGAATATAACCAACCAGTTTGCTGACAAATGTGTTGCAAGTGATTGAATAACTTCAATCCAGACTGCACTAAGGGAACCAAGTGCACCATATCTGACGCACCTACTCTGGTTTTGGCTTCATGCCGTGATGGCAACAGGCCAAATGTGAACTCAAGTGCTACAGCTCACAACGCTCACCTTGTCCAAGAAACTCAAAGCTGACTTCACACTCTGCTAACCCGCCAAATTTGACTAACTTCAGGTTTGATGCTTTTTTGTTTCTGCAGCTCCGTGACGATGTGGTGCCCAAGACAGCTGAGAACTTCCGTGCCCTATGCACTGGCGAGAAGGGCTTTGGCTACAAGGGCTCCTGCTTCCACCGTGTCATCCCTAACTTCATGTGCCAGGTAATGCGGCGAGGTATCCAATTGCAGTCATGATTCTTTTGCTTGGTTTAAGTAGGTTTGTCTGCGTGATGTGTTCCAGGGTTTTGTTATGCAGTTTAGTTAATTAATTTCACTATTTTAGTATTAAGTTGTGAGTTTTGGGGCATTTAAAATCACTCGTCTTGAACCAGCTACGTTGGGATCAATAAACTTGACAATTGCAGAAATGACTCTTTTGACATAAGGTGACCTGAAATGCCAGTGAGTAGTTTAGGATGGCTTCGATAAACATATACTGTGAAACTCATAAGTTACTGAAATGGTTTAGATATAACGATAATTGACTTTATTAGTTCTACAAAAATGGCTCATCAGCTATACTACATACTAATAATCTAATCAGCACTAGGCCGTCATACTCTCCAATAGACTCATAATCTGATGACTTGGTGTCGATAAACATTGCTGCCAGCTACACCAATGTTCTGCAGCATCTAAAAATAACTGCTCAGCTCATTCATATCCAGTTTAGTGCTGCCTAGCATAGCTCGCATTCAACTAAATCCTTAATCTCAACGCTCATCCTCCTTCTTTTACAAAATGTATTTTGTCTTTTTGTTATTCCTTCTTAAGGGTCTTTGCGTATTTACAAAAGAGGCTATAGAAGTCTAATTTATTATGCCTGAGACTGCATAGTGTCTTATTGAGACGTACGGCTTCACCCCACCTCAATCACTGGCCCGTTCACCTGTAAGGCTCCATGTTTAAAACTAAAGTGTAGACATCGCACCTCAGAGTATTATTGAAATATGTACTCTTCACAGTTAATGTGAGTAACAAATGCAGTCGAAGTGTCCCAAAACAAACTTTGTAAAAATAATTCCAAACAGAATAGTAGAATATAATTCCATACAAAACTAAATTTATTGACGAAAAAAAGACTAGTTTTAATTCAAGAGCAAAGATATCCACCATGTCTAATTCAAAGGATATGAGTGTTCTCTCTATGGGGATAAAACTTGGTTTGGACATGTTTGCGTTGAATCCCAGCCTATCCGCTGTTCACTTCTCAGCACAAAGTGTTAGCATTTTAGATTAAATAGATCAGTCTTACCTGATTTATGCAGGAAACCAGCTCTAGTATTAAGGTGTGTGTGATGTTAAACGGTATATTTGAACACACAGGGGGGTGACTTCACCAACCACAACGGAACTGGTGGAAAGTCCATCTATGGGAACAAGTTTGGTGATGAGAACTTCACTCTGAAGCACACCGACGCCGGCATCCTGTCCATGGCCAACGCTGGACCAAACACCAACGGATCCCAGTTCTTCATCTGCACAGCAAAAACAGCATGGTAAGAGCTCGCAACTTAAACAATTGCTAACCGGTTAAATGGAGCCAAACACTTGAATTGCAAATAAAAGCTCCCCTCCTGCTACATGACTCATTCTGACTGCTTTTGTGCATTTCCATCCCTGTGGCTACACAAGCAGCTCCCATTTAGTGCTGGTTGTGAGACTATACTTAATAATGTGTCTGCCTGCAGGCTCGATGGTAAGCACGTGGTGTTCGGAAAGGTTGTGGAGGGAATCGATGTGGTAGAGGCAATGGAGAGAAAAGGCAGCCAGAGCGGCAAAGTTCAAGGCAAGCTCACCATCGCCGACTGCGGGCAGCTCTGAGCTGCAGCACTTAACCCTCTCTGCTCATCCTGTAGCCACACCCCTGTAGGCTCCAGCCCTGTCCTCCCCATCCAATTCAACATTCCTATTGATGGAGATTCAGCAGATTCCCCCCCTACCCTGCCCTCCTTTTATATTCTGTTAAAATCATGTTGTTGCATTTGTGACTTTGCCTTTAAAGTTTCTTTTGCATTAACGTTCTTTTTTTTTTTTCACAAAGTCCCAACGCTTTTTTGTTAAGTCAAAAAATGAAATGAGAGAAAATAAAAATGTTGCCTTGACAACTGAGACTGTGTTGTTATTTACATATGTTATGTTTAGTACAGGTTGTCTACATGCCTGGTTCTGAGCTGGTGGGGGGGGGGGTGATGCACCTCATTGCTTGTTACCACTGCTAATAAACGACTCTTTTTGCATGACATAATGCAAATATGACATTCAAAACATTTAATATGGGGTTTTCTTGCATTGGTGGGGACAAACCTTGGTGCTGTGTGCAGCCATTGAAAGCATGAAGCCATCAAAAGTGCAATTTGTCAGTCAATAGTGGTTGAGTTCCAACCTATTAAAGAGCTGATGGTGGGACCTGAACCTAAAACCAGTAGAGAACCACTGCCTTCACCTATGTAAATGGGCTGATGTGACTCAAAAGGAGAGGTCAGAAAGTCCAGATTCTGGGAAGGAAACTTCACCTAAGATGTTATGCTCTAAATACTGGTGTATTAATTGAAGTTAAGGTAGTATGTGGTGTTCGTTTACAACATGAACTATCATTCATGATTTGTTTCTGCTACTCTCAATGTAAAGGCTCATACGTGTGTGGCTTCAGCAAAATGTCAATAATGCCCTGACCTGTTCTAACTAGCTTCAGTAATTTAAGAGACTACAGAGAACACGCGGCTGAAGTTTACACATCAGGTTTTTGGCCTTTTGTGAGCAGCTAACCAGCAGTGATTAAACCATGATGTACAAAATATTTCTAACTTTGCAGACGTCATTGTCACTTACTATCTCTCCAAGTGTGGACAAGAGCCTTTACGAAGTTGCTTCTTTATGCGATTAAAAGATATTGCTTACATGTGACGTTAATTTTGTTAAATATGTTAATGCACTAAGAACATAATCTAATGTGCGAACAATGAACTGAAGAATGTCATGTGTGTGCGTCTCCAGCAGAGGGAGCTGTTTGGCTGTAATGTTCTGATCACAGGGCAAAATCTGGCTTCTCATAAAAACTTCTCATATTACATTTTAAACGGCAATTACACGCGTTTCTATTTTACTAAATAACATGTAGTCAACTGAATGTCCAAATGTCACAATACTCAAAGATTTATCAGATTGTTTTTAGTACCATTCTCCATTTAAGGACTCACTGTAATGTTAACGACATGGTGGGAAGGCCAGCAATGTTTGACTGTGTAGCAATGCCAGAAGAGTCAGGATGCCGGGAAAAGAAAGACGTCCTGGACATTTGACCCCAACAAATAACATGCTGACTAGCGTTTTTTTTTTAATCAGTTCCAAAAGCTGACCTGAGTCAGGCTGAGGAGGCGAGTTTTAAACAGCAGGTTGATCTAACGCTGCTGACCCAACACACATCTATAGATATTATTCAATGACATCTCTGAAGGGCCCATTCATCAATTATTTCTGGGGCCTAGGGGAGTCGTTGCTCAAGGACACCACGGCAGTGCTCAGGAAGTTATCTGGCACCTATCCCATACCGGGATTTGAGCCGGTGACCCTCCAGTTCCCAACCCAAGTAAATGGTATAGCCCATGCAATGAGTTTCTTAGACAGATTTAATACTGAAACAAATTAAAATGGTATTAAAACCTTATTTTGTTGTTGTTGTTGTTTTTTTTGCTGTGAATACAAAATATGGTTTTGGTGATCATTTTAAAACTGGATTTCTGAAACCGACTGACAGTCACCAAAGCTAGAATATAATATCAAAAAATGTAATGGAGGATAAAAAAGGCAAAAAAGTTTACAACCATATTGTTATTATTTTGGCCCATAAAAATACATCGGCCACCCAAATGTAGACTGATGGAAGTCAGAGCTAAGGTTTATTTTTAGTTTCTGTTAAATATTTATTTTTTATGCCTTTATCTGAGAGGCAGGACAGTGGACAGATTTTTAAATAATGTAGAGAGCGAGAGAGAGAGTGGCGAATGGCATGCGATAAATGGAACCACATTTGGTATTTGAACCCGGGCTGCCCGCTGCTAGGACCCCAGCATCTGCACATGCGGCATGCAAATCTACCACTAGGCCACCTGCACACCAGACCTTGATTTTTATAATCTTCATGAATGAGTTAATAATCCTCAAAAACACTGAAGTTTATTCAAATTAAACAAGTTTTAGAGACAAATAAAACTGTACATGTTTTTATTCAGAATTAGACCTCTGACTGTTCTACTGTTCTTTCATAGTCTGTAAAAAATTTGTGAAGCTGAAGTCAGGATGTGTTTAGCCTTTAGCCTTTAATTGCACCTACAAGCGCTTCTATCACTGATTTCTAATATATACAATAGGCTATTTAATGGAAAAGCTGTTTTGCTTATTTAGATTAAATACATCATCAAATACTTAAAAACGCCAAGGCCACCATCTTGTTTCAAAATGTAGCCTTAAACTCAAAATTTTCCAAATCAGCAAACTTGCAAGCTATTTTTTTTATTTTACATACTAAACCATGTCTCATTCATGGTCTCATTATGGCTTTTGAATTAGTGAATCTTTTAATTTAAATGCTTAAAAATTAAAAGTTAAAAATTAAAATTTAAAATTTAAAATTTAAAATTTAAAATTTAAAATTTAAATTTAAAATTTTAAAATTTAATGCAACTCAAAGGGCAATCATTTGCACTCATTTGCACTCATTTGCACTCATTTGCACTCATTTGGAGGGGAAAAAAAGCACGTTTTCAGTTTAGCTGCAAAAAAACGTCATCGCTTCGAACTCAAATTACGTCACAGATCTAGCTGTAACAGCTCAGGTGGTTGCTAGGCAACTGAATTTATCCGAACTTCTGGATTCTCCGGTTTTGAGACAGCAGGTAAACACTTCCTCGTCCATTCACGCATTTACAGCTAGCTTGACAATACAGTTGAAAATCAGCACTTTACGTTGATTTTGGACACTTGTGGTTTTTATTTTAGGTGAAATGTCAGATTTAAAGTCGTTTAATCTCCTCCTGACACCAAAATATGGTAATGCTAACCTCCCTCTGGTCAAATTATTTGACTCCCCCTGCATGCGGCTGCACTTTGGCCTACACCTGCATACACACACCTGCATACACACACCTGCATACACACATCTGCATACACACATCTGCATACACACACCTGCATACACACACCTGTATTTGAGGCAGTGCTATTCAGATTCATGCACTTTTTAATTCGCTGTTTAAAATACAACAAAAATCCCCAAGAAGTGGTCAAGGAGGGCACATTATTTATTATTTAGTGTATGTTAAGTGAAAAACAGAAACAAATAAAGGAAGTCAGAGCACACTAATGCTTTATTTTAATATACTAAAGTGCTAAATCAACAGTTGACAAGAAAATGTTTGTAACTTTTACTGAGAGGAACACTCAATGTTGACTTAATAACGGAGTTTTTCTGTGCAGTTTATGGTTACAACCGTACGGATTCTATTCTATCCAACTTTGTTTTCTACATCATCAGTTTTGTTATATAAAATGGGCAGGTCTCTCAATATTGGTTCCAGATACGCAATCTAAAAAAAAAAGGGCGAACAATAAGGTTAAAAAGTCTATGTAAGGGTCTTCATCCACATTACGAATAGATAGAGGAGCGGCCCTGAGTTCTCAAGAACTTGGCAAGTTCGCGCCTCAAAATCTGTGACAGACAGAATGGGGTTGGGTCATAGCTTCTTTGCATATGATGCCATAAATAAGCGTGCTTTTCAGATGGAGAGCAGACTGCCAGCTAGGTAGCAATGCCTTGAGTGTGTGCTTTTATAACTAATCCAAATGAGAATGAACCATGGCTACTTTCGGGTCAGTTGCATTGCAGTTCATAAAGGGTTAAAGTAAAAGAAACATTCAAAGAAATGGTAAAAGATTTAGAGAGAAAAAGATCCAACTCAGTAGGGGCTGTGAGCTGAGCTGCTGTTGAACGACCTCAGCTTGTTTCTCTGATAACTTAAGATCCAGACATCAAATTTACCTAAAAGCAGCTTTGACAAACATGGTAGACATTCTGAAAACGTTTGGCTTGGTTTAGGCACCACAAAAATGGATTGTAGCTTTGGCTGAATTATGTACTAGTTACATTTGTGAAATGATGTATGTGGCTTTTGTTCTGTGTGACTTTGTGGCGTTATATTGAGCTGGGACAGATTAATTTAAATAAGGTTACGTAAATAACTTAAGAAATATTAATTATGTTAATTTACATGGACTTAAAAGAAGTCAAGTCATGGATCAAGCTCTTCCTGCTCTCTAACTAAATTCAACATGTCATGATGATCACATGATTACAACTACTCAAAGTCAGATCCAACATGGCCTCCAGAGGTGATATCTGAACCTCGACTCATGTCACTATAGTTTTACACATCAACAATATTCTCCTACAAACTGAACCGAGTTAAATTAAATATGTTCCGATGCTACAGAGTTTATAGTGAATCTGTCAGCAGCTCGTCTCTGCCGTCCTCCTCTTCTTCCCAGAATTGTTCCTCCGGCTCTGGCTGGGGAGACACACCCCCTGACCCTTGGCTTTCCCTGACTCTGCCCGGTTAACGGCGGTGCAGGACAGCCCCACGTCGCAATCGCAGCGCCCCAGCTTGCTTCTCCGTTTGGTGGACCCTCGTAGCAGACAGGCCTCGCCCTCCACGGGGATCCTCTGACAACGTTTACCGGTCAGATACCGGACGCAGCACAGACCGTCCGCACAGTCCCCCGACCGCACACAGCTCGACATCTCTGGAGCTGGATGATCAGATATTACACGTTACTCTTTGCAGTGCACTCTGGGACTTGTAGTTGACACCAAATCACTTACAGTCTTTATCTATAAAAGGAAAAATACAAAACCAGGTGGGGAACGTTTTGCAGAAATTAAGGACGTAATTAGTCAGACAGCGATCTTGGAACCCATCAGCTTTCGCCTGACAATTACACGCCTCTGGATTAACGGTGAATCTCTCTTGAAATCTTTAATCTGATGTAGTGATAAAGGACTTCATGCAGAGGCTTGTTTTTCTGTGTGCTTTTGTTTACAATACAAATAGCAAGTGTGTGTTCAGAAAGTGAACTCGACACCTTCAGATATGCTTTTGCTTTCCATGCAGACTGTTTTTCATGCATACACTAAAGCGTAAAATAAACAAAAGGGTGCAAAAGGACAAGTTAAGAGATGTCAAAAAAGCAATTACGTGGATATAAATGTGTACTTTTTTATGCTTTTCTAAACCCTTTTGTCAATACATTTCAGCCACTTATAGATTCACTCACCTTTTGTCCTGTTAAAGCCGTCATCGTTGCTCTGTATGTCCGTCTCCGTGTCTGTGTGTCTGTTCACCTGTCTGTCCTGGGAGGATGCTCTCCTCTGAGCTCTGTTACTGCACTGCCCAATCTGATTATTTGATTGATAGAGTGATAGACAAAAACAGAAGAAGGCGTATGAGTTGAAGTATCTGATAATCAGATTAGATCATTTACGTCCATATGGCTGTCCTGTTTTTAAATCCATCCAGGTGTTCTCTCCCTGTCTGTCACTGACCTGAGGTACATCACAGTCAGGTGTTGAACATGAAGCTGGTGATCCTCGATTGGAGTTGGACGTTGTGTCTGTTCGACGCCGCACTGGACGGTCCACCTGGTCACCATTGGAACCATCCTGATTGACAGGTGAGAGCGATGTCATGGTTATTACATCATATATCCACAGGTGGTTACTTACTACTACATTAAACACAACTCAACTTTATTTGTAAAGCTCTTTTCATACAGAAAAAGCATGCAGCCGGAAGTGCTTCACAAAAGAATGACAGACTTTTACAACAATAAAAGACTCAACAGGAAGACGGTAATCAAATAATTAAAACATAAATAAAATAAAAGTTCATACAGTAGGAATTAAAACATTAAAATCAATGAAAGTTTGTGTGTGGAGGCTATAGGACTCCAACCGAGTCGCAGATGTCATCCCCACCTTCACTCTCTTTCTCTCTGATTTCTGACTCTATCCACTATCTTAGCTCTACAATAAAGGCACAAAAAGCCCCAAAATAAATCTGTGACAGATGGATAAGACTGAAATAAAATACAAGAGATAAACCTAATGTGAAAACAAAGATGAAAATATTAACCAAAAATTTTAATCCCTCCAAATTAAAAGCCAGATTAAAAAAGTGGGTCTTCAGTTTACTTTTAGAGCAACTGTACACACTGCATGCGTCAGAAATCAACAATACTTTTATTCAATATGTTACCAGTTTTACATCCTTTATATTCTTTTGAGAATAGAATTAAGAATCAAAGATTCAAAGTAAAGTAAGGGATTTATTTAAAGTTAAAAACAGGCCAAAGCTAACAGCAGACTAAAGGCTTTAAGGGCTAAAAACAGCAGGAGCACCTCTGGAGTTTGATTAGTGTTTATAATATTACAGCTTCTACTAAAATGACCAGTACTACTGTCGAGTGTTGAAGTCAAGACCACACTAAGACCAAGACTCCTCGAGACCAGAGAGCTCCAAGACCGAGACAAGACCAAGACCATAAATATCACAGAAAAATCATCAACCTGTGTGCAGCAGGCGTGTCACTCACATTAGATCACCGGGAAGGTTGCGGTAATCGGTGTAAAATAATCTTATTATGAATGAATTAAAATGATCTGTTCTTTTAGAAAGAGATGTTTTCCTTCTGAGCACAGTGATGATGTGGAACAATAACCTTTCAGTGGTGGTCTTGACCGGTCTTGATTTAAAATCCGGAGTCCGCCCAGTCTGAGACTGAGACAAGACAGAGTAAAAATCCTTTCGATTCCGAGATAAGACAACCGGTCATGGTTTCAACATCTTGAAAACATGACCGATTTGGAGAACTACAACATTACTACAGTCTCTACTGTGTTTAAAAGTACATGAAGATACTCATACTGCTTTTTTGAAGCTATAACCAAAATGACGATCATGAAACCCATTTTATAGCCAGAGAAACTATCATGATAAGTATATATATTATTCAATCAAATCTTATTTTGAGTGTTGTGGTGTTATTTAGGTAAAACTAGGCCTCAAAAGTAACAAAAAAAGCGTGTATTTTCCTGTTAAACGTGCAGTAAAGTTAACGAGCAGGCCGGTCTGTAAGACTCTTTCAGGTTTGCACATTTTGCATGTTGACACAGTTGTAGGTTGTGGGTATACATTTTGTAGTTGCACAGTCTAAAATACGAGTTTCCACTTCCCTGCACGGTTTATGTGTTAAATTGTTGAAGGTAAAATAAATAAAAATAAACCTTCATTCCTTTTCTGTTCTATTTCTTTGTTTGTTCAATTTTACACATCTCAACATAATCTCACAAGAAGAACCAAGCATGCTGTAGAAGATGTAGAAGTACTACAGTGAAGTGTTTATTTACTCACCAGCAGCTCGGCGCTCTGCTGCGTTGACTCCTTGGAGGATCTGATGGTGTTGGAGTCCAGAGCCAGACCACAGACCAGAGACACACACAGGAAGCTGCGCCACATCCACATCCTCAATCGATCAATGAATCACTCCTATAAAAATCAATCACTGGATCCTCTTTTTATCTCTTGCAGAAAACTTTTTAACAGCAGAAACAGCTTTGATTCTGTCGACTTAATATTATGATCCTGTATTTTTTTGGACAGATTCTTTATTGTTTTAAGGAGATCTTCTGTCCTGTGGTCGAATAATGGATCCTGTTATCAGAAGAATTTGAAAAAATCCTTCCAGAGTATTTCAAAACAAACTCTTTTAAACAGTTTCTGCCGAGTTTATAGATAATTCACACCTGTCAGTCTGTGCTCTGAACCTCTCTGTCTGCTGCCTTCAGGTGCGTTTGTTTTTATACCCTCCCCTCTGCTCTGATCCGTCCTCTGTCAGCTGCCCATCTCTCAGAAGTTTTGAAGGTGTGTTTGAAGCTCGACCGCATCAGTCGGCGGAGACAGTGCCTCCTTCCCTCGCTTCCTTCCTGGAAGCCCCAAGGCCTCAGGTGAGGCGGGCCGTTTGATACCTGACACCTCAGAGACCGCAGAGATTAAACACACCTGGAGACACGAGACAGGTAGTCTGTGAGTGTGTGTGTGTGTTTGTGTGGTTTTACTTTATGTGGTCTGAAATGTGACCATAAAGACTCATTAGAGCAGAGCTGGTCTCTGGCAGGCAGGCGGATGTGCGAGTGTTTACAGGTGATTAAAGCCGATTAACCGACACAAGTGAATCCACTTTGTGACGACACCAAACAGGTGAAAAATAAATCTCAGATCATCGTCTCTGATCACTCAAAACCAGTACAATCATTCCTGCAATACACAGATACTTATATTTCCAGGTGTGTTGATTTGATTGGCAGGTGTCCCAGCTGTTTTTGGATGCATGAGGCAGAACACCTGAACCTGTGAAGGAAAACCTGGTGCTTATATGCAATTTTTCCCTCTAATTTTTGAAGTGATAGTTTTTAATTGTTCTCATCTTGCTTACTGAAATTATTACACTAATATATGTTTGTCTGAATTTACTCCAAGTTTCAGTGATCCAACGGTTTGTGGGTCTAAAGTCGGGCGTACAGTACACTTCATTATCTGGCCGATTTAGACCCCATATTTTGGATCATATGACTGATTTTGACGACGGGCTGAATGTCAGCTCGATAGCACGTTTTTCGTTCTGACATGTATACTGAGGCACTGGGCTGATCACGGCCTGAGTTTAGCGCCCCCTGCAGACTTATCTTGGGATTACTCCAACATACGTTTACCTCATGATTGGTTGCCAATTTTTTTGTGCATTTTAAACAGTTCGCAGGAGTTAGCTTGCCATTTTTTATCATTTTAAACAAGAAATGACCCAATATTGGGTGACCAGAACTCCTTCTTGTTGCCATGGTACCAAAAATTATGGTTAGATTTTGACTTTTATCATATTGAAGTTGACTATTCTTGTATCATGACAGCGCCCCATGAATATTTAAACTCACCAAAGTAAACTCCACCTAGCCTGCTGCAAAGTTAAAGAGATGAAGACATAAATGCATCAATTATTATGATACATTAATACATTTAGTATTCTTCATATTGAGTATCTCTTATTGGTACTTTAAAGGTCCAATCAGTGTAAAGTGATCTTACTATATGATCAGACATTAAGGAAACATGCTATGTTGAAGTGCTGGCTTCTCTGACAACAATGCAGCAGTCAGTATGTCCTCCTTCTAACTTTAGATTCTGCTCCTGAATGATCTGGATTTGTTTGGACCAGAGAAGGTAGATGGTTCTAAGGCGACCCCCCCACACGGCCGTGTTGGACGCCCCTCGGTTTGCCAGATATGAGAGCAGTTATCAGGTCAACAGGTGTTGCAGCGATGGAAGCGGGACAGAGAAGTGGTTCAGATAGAAGTGATTGTACCCGACCTAAAAAGCCTCTGCATGTTTCTAATAAGCTCCACGAGCAGAAACGTGCTCAAACTAGGATCAATATTGGAGATGCTTTTGAAAAATGGAGAGAGGTTAGAACACAGAAAGGTTTACAGACCCATGCAGAGCTGGATAAACACTGAAGCTTCAGTGTCCACCACATGGTGACCTGTGTGAGCATCAACTCTAGAGAGGAGGGGGAGGGGGAGACAGCTCTTTCTAAGGTTTAGAATTTGGACTGCAGTACCCATTTTAAACTCTAGGGGGTCAGAGTTACATATTACTCCTTTACGTGGGCCTTTAATTCTAATACTTAGTTTATTTTCTTGAGTAAGAATTTATATGAAGAACTTGAATTTCTGTTAAAGAGTTTGTACACTTTTACTAATTTGACGTTCATGTTTTCGATCAGATGTGAGCAGACAAACGTACATGAAACACGTCACACAGAGAGAGCAGCAGTGAGTGTGTGTGATTGTGTGTCTGTCTCAGTAATTGTGAGCATCTGTTGTCCTTTTATTGAAGCCCTGGAACAACCTGCAGGCTGAAGACCTTATCACTCACACACATCTACATCTACACACACACACGCACACACACAGGTCAGAGGCTTTATCATTTGTGTTGCTGGTGTGTAGATGTGTGTGTGTGTGTGTGTGTGTGTGTGTGTGTGTGTGTGTGTGTGTGTGTGTGTGTGTGTGTGTGTGTGTGTGTGTGTGTGTGTGTGTGTGTGTGTGTGTGTGTGTGTGTCTTCTTATTGTCTGTTTTTATCAGAATAAAAAAGGAAACGTCTACCTCCTCTTCCTTGTCCTTCCTCGTCTCCTCATCTCCTCGTCTCCTCTCTGTCCTCGTCTCCCTCCTCCCCTCAGGTCAGATATAAAGTCCGTCCATCAGCAGCTGAGAGACCAGACCAGGAGCCCCTCTCGTCCAGGTAGGACCAACCTGTCTGTCTGTTTGTGTCTCAACCAGCTGCTGGCCAGTCGTTCAGTTCAGTTTATTTTATATATTCGGTCAGAGAGTTTACTTACAGTTAACTTTTAATGTGCGAGAATCAAATCAAAATTATCATTTAGATTAATTGTTTAAATTATTTGTAACTTATTTTGTTTAGGACTGTACATTTGAGTTAATCTCATTAAATTATATTTTTTTGTTGTGTTTTAGATTTTATTATTTGATCTGTTTCTAATTTAAGGCATGTTTAATTCAAGCTTTTAATTCTTTTATTGAGGATTTTATTTTCATCATTCTTAACTTTTGAGTTTTATTTCAAAACATTTCAAAACATTTTTTATTGAATTCACAATTAAAATATTTCAATGTGATTCATTGATATGTTTACAAATTTAAGGCATGTTTAATTTCAGATTTTAATTTTATTAAATAAATATATTTTTTTATTTACATGGATTGTTTATTTTTTATTACATTTGAATTACATTTTTCCCAGTTCTTGTTTTTTAGATCACATAGTTAAATATTCGGTTGTAGTTCTTTTGAAGGTGTGTTTAATTTTTGCTTTTATCGAACTACATTCATTTTATACATTTATATTTTCTTAATTTTGTCATTTACAAATGTTTAATTTTATTTCGTTATTAGTTTCTTTTATCGCTTTATTGTTGTTTCATTTAGATATCAAACTATTTTTTTTATCCTCCCTTTTATCACAATCTTTTATTTATTACATTAATTATTACATCCTTTTTTCCGTTGGCTCTTTTATTAAACTTTCACTTCTGTCTGTCTGTATTCATGCTACGTTTTATATATTTATAATATTTATCACTGTAGCTGTTGTGTTGATCATCGATCACCTGTCGGGCTGCTGCTCAGGTTGGATTGATTTTCATGACAAGTTTTATTTGTGAAACTGACGAATAATAGAGAGGAGACACTTTACTCAAAATGTCAGAATATAAATCAGAGAAACATTTCAACGATCTGACACAGAGACGATGTCCAGACTCCATTACGTTCTGCAGGTTCGTTTCTCTGCTGCGTCGAAATTACATTTCAGATCAATTTTCCATCAAACAGGACGAGAGAGAGAGGGGGGGGGTGGGAGTGTAGCAACCAACCAAGATGGACTGAGATAAGGGAATGAGAAATGTGTGTGTGTGTGTGTGTGTGTGTGTGTGTGTGTGTGTGTGTGTGTGTGTGTGTGTGTGTGTGTGTGTGTGTGTGTGTGTGTGTGTGTGTGTGTGTGTGTGTGTGTGTGTGTGTGTGTGTGTGTGTGTGTGTGTGTGTGTGTGTGTGTGTGCGCGTTAGTGTGAGTAAAGAGCCTCTTAAAAAATCAAACAGCAGACAAACAGTCAACAGTCTCGTTCACAGAACATCACTGACGGCGTGTTCGGAGTTTTGGTTCACGTTTTCTTGTCTCTTCATCTCAAACTGCCTCCACGAGTTCTTTCAACAAATGAAAAAGAATAATGTTCAGTGAAAAAGAAATCATTGTCAGGGATTGGGTAAAAACAACATGAGACGCTTTTATATCAGCAGCTGTGTTACCAGGTGCCTTGAGCTACATGCTAACATTAGCATGCTAACATTTTGATTTTGCTGTGCGAGTATGCTAAAATGACCTCCACTATTTAATGTGGCATTATACCTGCACGCTTTTTCCTTTGGTTTCAGTATCATCTGCCCAGATCACAGATGGAAGTTAGCTATCTAAATCTGGGATAAAGCATCTTTTCTCTTCTTAGAATGAAGTATTAAATCCAGAGATTAGACACATTTATTCAGATTTCTGCAGATTCAGATCTTCTTATATATTAACATGTTTACCGCCTTTATTTAGCATGTTAGCTTGGGGTACCTGTGTGAACAACTTTTCATCACAACTCATCAAACAGTTGTTGAAATATTTCAGGTTGGAGCTACGTCACTAATGCTGCTCACACATGTTTAATCTCCTGTTTTTATTTCTATTTTAGTTTAAAAAAAATACAAATGCAGTTTTAGTGCCGATGTCTGGTCAGTGATGATCCGTGTCCCTTAAATGTCTGCTCATGAAAAAGCAGCTATAGTGTCAGAGTAATCTTAACAGTAATGAAAATACAACCCGCCTCAGCTCCAGCTCTCAGCCTGTTGACTGAAAGTTAGACTGAGACAGGATTTCCAACATGGCGGCTGCTGCTGATGAGCCTCAGGAGCCCCCTGCAGGAACAGACAGGTGATGTCACTCAGGCTTCAAACGTTAATATTTACAGTCTCTGCTTTGTACAGAGCGGGATCAAGACTGGAGGCAAAGAGGAACAGCGTATAAATCAATCTTTGACTCCAGATCAGACGGCAGAGGTTGTGCAGAAGCACACTCAGACTAATATCAGTGATAGTAGGAGAGGGTTGTGTAGTTTTATTAAAGATCAGATGTGATATGAAGGAGCTGCTCTTCACTGACACTCTTCATCACAACACAGAGACGGTATGAAGCCAAAGAACAAACACAGATCTACAGTCCGACTTTAAAGGTTTAAACCACAGAGTATGGCCTACACCTCCTCTTATTGTTAAGTGACTTGACAACATTTGTTATCAATCGGCGCTGTACAAATAAAGATTGATTGAGTGATGGATGAGCATACACCATTTGCATCCCTACATTTCTTTGTTTTTGTTTCCTGCTCAAAATGTTTTGCACATGACTTGGAGAGATGAGACGCGTGTAGGACCGTGGTGTTCATTATAATGTACTTGAATGCAGGCAATTAGCATCTGTTAGTATGTTAACATATTATCCAGCATCTTATGTTCATACCGGCTCAACACAAGCTTGTTAGCTGGATTAGCATTAGGCTGTGAAATGCTAATATTAGCATTTAGCTCAAAGCACTGGGGTGTCGAACCTCACAGAGTTGTTTGACCGCAGGCTCTTTACGTTTATCAAATATGTTCGTAAATAAAAGTTATCATCCAATAAAGAGCAGACAGGATTTAGAGGGAAGGTAACGTTGGACCCGGAGATGTTTTCATTGGGTTAGAATTAGAATGTGTGCCTGAAAAAATGATTCAGTAAAAAAAAAAGTCCAGGTCGCACCCCATGTACGGAGGCCATAGTCCGGGTTCAAGTCTGACCTGTGGCTCCTTTACTACCTGCATCTCAATCCCCAATCTGAATCTAATCTTTAAATATTTAAAAAGAAGTGTATTGAGCACTTTGAAGACATGTGTGTTTAGTTTGTCTCTTTGTTCTGTGACATGTTTTGCGGTCCAAACTGCTCGATTTGTCATTAAATAAATCTGATTGGTTGAACGTTATCAGAAATTTGGGTCACGATTTCTCATTAAGGGACGGTGCTGGGTGCTGAAGCTAGACCAGCAACGAACTAGTTGTCTAGGATTTGTTGGATTTGATTTGAGTGTGGAGCAAGGTGACTCCAGAATCATTTCTAAAAAACTGTAATTTCATAATCATGACTTATTACGTCCCACTCTCTAACTGATTAAATATTACACTTATAGGCTACATACATTCTTAAACCACAGTAAACTCACACTCTACGATGAATTACTTTAAAAACAATGTAATTGGTTCCTTTCATGGTTTTCTAAAACACTTTGAAGTATGTTCAGTAATTCTGTTTAAAACGGACAGGGCTGATCAAATCCTGAATGGCTTTTTTTAAAAACCAAAATCAGAACTTCTTGCAGTTATTGCAAAATGTCACACATCTTCACACATCAATTGATCCACACACAGTCAACTCATCAAAAGGTTCAGTGACACAGAAAACATGTAGAACAAAGTGTTGAGTGCTCTCTCTGTGTGCAGACATGGCGTGGCTCCATCAGAGTCGAGGCTCTCCCAGACTCGTCCTGGTGGTGGTTTGTGTCGCTCTGCTACTCGACAACATGCTGCTTACTGTGGTTGGTGAGTAGACACACACTCACACACACACCCAGACACACACACATGGCAGAATCTGGTTGGTTAAGTACTGAAAGAGTTATTAATCAGCTGACCACCTGGACAAGAAGACGGAGAGAGGGACAGTCTTCCTGCTTGAATTTACACTGAGCTTCATAAGACAATAACATCATCTCTTCATCTAAAAAATGGTCTATCCAAGTTTCATTCAAATGAGTAGTCATACTAAAGAAATAAGAGAAAGCATGAACTCTGCATCATGACATAGAAATTGAAGCAACATCCTCAAATCTGTTCATTTTGGGGTCATACACGGTGCACCGCCTTTTGAACTGACCTGTTTATTAAGAGAGTTACAACAGCGTGCAGTCCTTATGCTTAGCGCTGTACTTTAACCTTATACTTGGTTCAGATTGGTTCTGAACATTTACATCACCGGGATCGTTTTTTGTCTTTTTAGGATTCACAGAGCAGCAACACAACGCTCTGGTGTCCTAATGTGGTTATGTGGTGCCTCATGACGTGTTTCAGAAACAGATTTTCCTCTGTGATGAAGTCTGAGCAGCTGGAAACAGATTTGTAACGCATCTGAAAAACCCCGCGGGTTACAGCTGTCGTCAGCCGTTACAGTCAGAGCGGGATGTAAAGGCTGCAGAGGTCACAAACACACATGCACACATCTGACCTCCTGACATCGAACTTTAAAATTTGTGGTCTCAGGTCATTCTTGTCTCCTTTCATATCTTCAGGGATTATTTTTCTCCTCCTCTCCACTGTTTTTTTTTTCTCCTATGACTTTTTATTTGCCCAGTGGCAGTTTGTGGAGGTTTAACTTGTTTTTCACCGGCTAATGATTTATTGATACTCGCTCTTCTGGTGCCTTTGGATGTTAAACGTGCATTTCTCTTAATAAAATGTAGTGACTAAGGTGATAAACAAATATAAACATAATGTTTAGATTCTTACCTGCTGAGCATGAACTTCACTTTTGTCATGTTTTGTTTTCTTATGAGATGTTTGTTACTTTGTTTTTTTTATTCTCACATTTTAGGGTTGCCCATAAATACATGTTGGTTAAAATGGTTAAAATAAGTTTCAGCTTAAACATTTTTGGCCAGTGAATTTATTTATTTTTTCCATTTTTAATCAATCTGGTCAGGGTTAACTTCTGTGATTTTTGATGTGGTTTGGTTGACAGTGCAGACTGAAATATAATATTACTTCTGCTCCTACTAAAATATGTGTTTTGTAGGGCTGTCAGACGATACATTTGTAAATCTCGACTAATCACAAAATTTCAATAGTTAATTGTGATTAATCACGATCACGATTTCAGGCTTTTATTTTGAAGTTTTGTACTGTCTGAAGCTGAGAGTACTTTACCTGCTGTTTGAGTTCAACCGTGCTTTTATTTTGGGGAGTATTCATGTGGTATAAGTTGAATCTTGAATTTGGTTGTTTCAGTGACCTCTGCTTGACCGTATCGTTTTCCAATTAAAAAGACTCAGAATATAGTAATATAAGATAATATAGATAAGTAATATAAGAATATCATTTTACATCCCGTGAGGTCATCTGGAAACTTGTCTTATTTAAACATCTGCACGTTATGATGTAATAATATATTATATAAACAGACTTTATTTTGTCAGAGATATAATAAAACATATTTCCTCCTCCAGTGCCGATCATCCCGACGTTCCTCTACGCCATGGACCACCCCAGTCCAGAGCCTCAGACTGTCCAGCCCTCCCTGCTCCCTCTTCCCAGCATCAGTGCACCACAGCGGAGAACAGCGCCCCCACAGGCGCCCTCGTCCAGGTCAAACCTCCAGACCCTGCCTGGACCTCCCAGGCCTCCCAGCTCCCTCGTCCCAGCCACAGTGCACTGGTCCTGGATGCACCAGCAGAGCAGAACCCCCGATCATCTCCTCCCACCTTCCCTCCTCTGGTGTCTCTGTTTGACAACACCACCTTCAGTCTGCACGAGATTCAGACTGAACCGATTCTGAACACCGAGCCGACGGACCAGACGAGCCTGACCACAGAGCTGCAGATCAACGAGACGACTAACGCTACAGTAGGTGGAAGTGCTCCTCACTCTGATGGATCTGTGTGTACAGGTGAGGTTACAAGTTCTCCTTTCTCATCTGCTGCAGGAGTCCTCCTGTCTTCAGGACAGTGCGTTCCTGGAGGAGGAAAATGTCCGTGTTGGTTTGTTGTTTGCCTCTAAAGCGCTCATCCAGCTGCTCGTCAATCCCTTCGTTGGCCCGCTCACCAACAGGTATCACTCTGTTTGATTTCACATCACAGTCTTTAACTTTGTGTTAGATTAAGGGATGTTTTGGAGAAGAGTTGTAGAAGAGTTGTTTTAATTTTTATGTAATTGTGTAAAACTTCCAGGAATGCTAGCTGGAAGGCAGTGTCCCCTGAGGAAGTTTTAAGAAGTATCGTCTGGTTCTAGTTAAAATGTACTGTTGAACAAAAAGGTCCTTATCTGTGTGGATCATTTATACACTTGTTTTCTTGCAGGGTCGGGTACCACATCCCCATGTTCGCCGGTTTCATCATCATGTTTGCATCGACCATCAGTAAGTCACAAACACACAAACACGTTGTTGAGAGAAAGTTTTCTATAAAGAGATGTTTTATCGCGCGCGTGTGTGTGTGTGTGTGTGTGTGTGTGTGTGTGTGTGTGTGTGTGTGTGTGTGTGTGTGTGTGTGTGTGTGTGTGTGTGTGTGTGTGTGTGTGTGTGTGTGTGTGTGTGTGTGTGTGTGTGTGTGTGTGTGTGTGTGTGTGTGTGTGTGTGTGTATCAGTGTTTGCTTTCTCAGGGACCTACGCTCTGCTCTTCTTCGCTCGCTCTCTGCAGGGGATCGGCTCATCCTTCTCCTCTGTAGCGGGTCAGAGATTTAACGTTCATGTTAATCTTTTTATACCACCATACTATCATTTGTGTTCTCATATCCTCATATCTGTGTGTGTGTGTGTGTGTGTGTGTGTGTATGGGTGTGTGTCTGTGTAGGTCTTGGTATGCTGGCCAGTGTATACACAGATGATGAGGAGAGAGGCATTGCCATGGGCATCGCACTGGGAGGACTGGCTATGGGAGTGCTGAGTGAGACACACAAACACACTCATACGTTATATTACAAATGGGGGGTGGGGGCTTTTAGTCATAATCCTTTGGAAGTAGGGTCACTTTGGAAGTGACTGTTGTTGTATTGTTTGTTTGTTGTGTTTCAGTCGGAGCTCCATTTGGCAGTGTGATGTACGAGTTTGTGGGGAAGAGCGCCCCCTTTCTGATTCTGGCCTTCCTGGCTGTGTTTGATGGAAGTAAGGAGAAAAAAAAGACACAAATATCGGTCATAATGAACGGTAGTAGCTTTCCCAAAACAAGACACTTTTCATCTCATCATGAGATAGAAGTGTGAACCTAAAGCGTACCCTGCTTTATCATCAATTTTAAACGGGACCATCATTTAAAGACTGAAGCTGTTATGAAGAAGACACTTGAAACTACACCAAGAAAATATCAGAAAAACGTTGACTGATGTAATAAATCACGGTAGCAGTGGGCTTTTCCCCCCGTTAGACTTCTATGCAGTCAGACTTCTTTTTGCTTTCGGTGAAGTTGCCACCTGCTGGCACTTCTTAAGTTTCACTTTAAAAGGCCCTGACGCACCAAGGAGCTCTCGGTGGTGAGTCGCTACCCGTCGGCCCCTGTCTGCCTTTTCCGGCCGATTCGACATGTTGAATCGGCGTTTGTCGGTCGGTGAGAGGAATCTCTCTGATTGGCTGTTGGGAGGTTTCATTTCTCTCCAGCTCTCCTCACAGGTTCAGGAAAGCCCCTTGAGCATGCCGCTGTAGTATCCATGCTTTCACCCATTAGTGCGGTTTCTCATTATTTGTCGCCTCTTCTTTTCTTTTTCCACTAAAAGACTCAGGGCTGACAACGCCAGCGCCATTTTAAAAACTTTTTATCAGACATTATTCTCCATTAAAAGTACCTATAATACGAGTGGTGACCGACAGCGGTGTGAAAATGGTCTTCTTGTATCATGACAACAAGCTACCGTCGCCTAATGGCATGGAGAGTTATTTCCCCTCATACATACGCAGAACGTACGTGGTGGTTGGCCGTCGGCTGTAGTCTTTGCGGTGAGTTCTATTGCAACTTTTTGGCCAAGACCTGAGGCGACCTGAGGCGACCTGAGGCGACCTGATGCGACCTGAGGCGACCTGATGCGTCTGCTTGGTGTGTCAGGGCCTCATGTCCTGAAAAAGAGTCTCTGACTTCTATCTCTTAAATTCACATATTGTATCATACAATGGTCCTTATACATTATTGAACTTCCTGGATAAGATTTCATTTTCCAGTCAGCCTGAAGACCCAGTAAGACTAAAGGCAGCTGTAGTTTTTAAACACTTTTTAAATTTTAATTTACTATTGAAGTTTGTGTATTCTGCTGTTTTTGTGTTTCAGTATTACAGCTGTTCATCCTGCAGCCTTCAAAGATCTCTCCAGGGGTGAGTACACTTCAGAACTGCCTGCTGATCTGATCTAGTTTGGTCTGGTCCTCCCTGATTCAGCTTTAAGTGATCTAAATGATGGTCTGGGTTCTACCATTCAGGTCTGTTTTGGATCAGAGTGACCAGCTTCAGTTTCTGTGTTTCAGAGTGTGGAGGGGACTCCGCTACTGACGCTGTTAAAAGATCCGTACATCCTCATCAGTGCAGGTAAGAAGGCGCTAACATGAGTCTGTGTTAGGACACATGGCTCTCTGCAAAGTAGGAGTTCACTATTTACTGTATATGAAGGTGGATGACGAGTCTCCTCCTCCTCTCGTCGTACAAAAATGAAGTCAAAATATCCTCAAACAAGCTCCGACATATTGAGCTGTGACGTCATCTGGCAGTGCTCATGTGTCCATCTTCATAATCAGTCTGTAGGGTCTACCTGTTTGTTTCTATGTGAGTGAGGGTGTCAGGGTCTACCTGTTTGTTTCTATGTGAGTGAGGGTGTCAGGGTCTACCTGTTTGTTTCTGTGTGAGTGAGGGTGTCAGGGTCTACCTGTTTGTTTCTATGTGAGTGAGGGTGTCAGGGGATTGACGCTGCTCTCTTTTTATCCACCTTTACGTCCTTTTATGTGTCTGCAGGTTCTCTGTGTTTTGCAAACATGGGCGTCGCCATCCTGGAGCCGACTCTGCCCATCTGGATGATGCAGACCATGTGTTCCCCAAAATGGCAACTTGGTAAGATCCAACTTAAGGGCCTTTAGGACGCGGTGGGAGCTGCGCGCTGCTGTCAAGCCCATTCATTGTGTATTGTGTTGCTCCGCGTAAACGTGCATCTCCTCGACGCCATGTTGAGCGCAGCGCAGGGTCTCGTTTGCCGTTCTTGCGCGAAAGTTGAAACATTTTCTTCTTTCACGCAGAGCTCCCTGACGTCACCTCCTTCATCTCGTCCTTTAATCCTCCTCATGCCCCCCCCCACCCCTCTAACTTCTCTAACAGGTGTGTGTTGTGTTTCAGGTATGGCCTTCCTACCTGCCAGCATCTCCTACCTGATAGGAACAAACCTGTTTGGTGTTTTGGCCAACAAGATGGGACGGTCAGTGTGTGTTGTGTTGTGTGTGTGTGTGTGTGTGTGTGTGTGTGTGTGTGTGTGTGTGTGTGTGTGTGTGTGTGTGTGTGTGTGTGTGTGTGTGTGTGTGTGTGTGTGTGTGTGTGTGTGTGTGTGTGTGTGTGTGTGTGTGAGTTCAGTGCCAAAGAGGAAGAGGTTTAATCAGCAGATTACCTGATTAACTTTTCTTGAAAGTCAAGAGTCCTGTTCAGACCTGAACCTGGAGAGTTCTGGTAAACCTGCAGGTTTTAAAGACACACAGACGGACAGACAGAGGGGGCTGATGGGTATTTTTGTGTCTCCAGGTGGCTCTGCTCAATGTTGGGGATGTTTATCGTTGGCATCAGTCTGCTGTGTGTAAGTACAAACACCCAGCCATCCAAATATCATCTTCCAATCATCCAATAATCTGTCATTCCCGTCGCATCTATCCTTCTACAAATCATCCATCCATCAAATCAATCATCTGTTGGATCAGTTTTCAATCTCTTCATCCGTCTCCTCTTCCTTAAAGATCAAATCTGGTCATGGAGAAGTCCTCAAACACACACACACGTTTAAAGTGCATCATCTTGTGCTAGCTTTGTTCAGCAGTGCTACAGCTGCAGGTATAAAAGAGTTCCTGTAGCGTTTTGTTCTCCCTTTAGGAGCAAATCGAAGCTGAAACTCTCAGTTTAAGGGATGAGAGCGGTCGTTAGGAATAGTGCTCGCCTCGCGCTTCAGCTCTAAAGAATAGAGATCCATCAGGTCGGATTGAGACTCTCTTATAAGTTTGCTCGCCCACTTAAGAGTCCGTTTACCAAACCATGAAACGAGAGACAAAGACAGGACTGATTCAAAGACAGGACTGTAGGAAAAAAATCATCAGGGTTTTGTCAACTTGTCAGGAAGGTTTCCTCAGACAACTTGACATCAGGAAGGTTTCCTCACAATTTTAATTATAATTATATAATGATAATTATGGGCTATGTTGTGGAGTATGGGCTCTAAAGTCTGCGATCATCTCCTTTGTCTTGGTGTGTGTGTGTGTGTGTGTGTGTGTGTGTTGTGTGTGTGTGTGTGTGTGTGTGTGTGTGTGTGTGTGTGTGTGTGTGAGTCAGGTCCCTTTTGCCACCAGTATCTACGGACTGATTGGACCAAACGGAGGTCTGGGCTTCGCTATAGGTATCTGTCAACATTATTTCACTGAATCTCAAGTGTTCAGGTGTTTGTGGAGAAACGGATGCAGACAAACTGGTTTGATTCATTTGAAACTGTGGAGAACATCTTTCACTTTTGGTGATGTTTGTGTTATCATCCCTCAGGTATGGTCGACTCTTCCATGATGGCCATCATGGGCTACCTGGTGGACATCCGCCATGCGTCTGTTTACGGCAGTGTCTACGCTATCGCTGACGTGGCGCTGTGTATGGGATTCGCTATCGGTAACACACACACACACACACACACACACACACACACACACACACACACACACACACACACACACACACACACACACACACACACACACACACACACACACACACACACACTCAAACACATACACATGCCTGATGGTATAAACATGTGAAGCTGAAAAAGTCAGTTCTAGAGACAGATGAGAAAAGCCTTTTTATCTAAAAGCATGATTCTCTTTGCAAGAGTTGCGACATGAAAATGTGACTTTGCTTTGGTCAGGACACACCTTTACTTTGAAGACGTTTAAAAATCTTTGTTGTTGTTCCAGGACCATCCACAGGGGGAGCTCTGGTCCAGGCGGTAGGTTTTCCCTGTCTCATGGTGTTTATCGGGGTGATCAACATCCTGTACGCTCCGCTCTGCTTCCTGTTACGTAACCCGGCCGTAAGTGAGGAGAAAATGGTAAGTATGGATTCACACATGATGGTAATTTAAAAAAAAGCAGCTTAATTAATGTCGATGTCTTTCACGTCCTTTGACAGGTGTTGTTGTTTAATCTATCTATGCTGAGACTAGACTTTCTTTTAGGAAGGCGGAGCACATTAATTAACGACAGTTGATCTCAGGGTGTTGCTTTATCTCAGTGGTTGAATCAGTGCCACCGTTGGCCATTTACCTCATATCCTCCCCATAGACTGTGAATATATATTAGGACAAAGCCTGAGTGACGTTACCCACTGCAGGCGGCTTTTGAGTCCCATCGCAGAGGTAGCCAGGATGTAAATTCTCTCTCAACCAAACCTTAAGTCAACCTAACGACAGGCTGAGAGCTGGAGCTGAGGCGGGCCTTAAGCCTCTGACGAACTGTTACACCACGCCCTCCTGTCAATCATGTCAGCTACGCGCCTCACTACAGATAACTCTTATCCTTCATAAAATCAAAATGGATGAGTTATGAAAAAATTCACCCCCTGTACAGTGTGTGCCGATGAAGACAATATCTAATCAAATCAAAATAGTTTTTTGTACCAGGATGTAAATATGTTCATTTCTGTTGTAAAAGGGGCTTTTTTGAATGGGTGTGTGTGTGACTTCTGGGTCTTTTGGAGCCAGCCTCAAGTGGACACTCAAGGAACTGCAGCTTTTTTCTGCACGTCTGCATTGGCTTCATTTTTCAACACCGGAGGTTGCCAACAGGTCCTCACCCGTACTCTCCAACTCCATCCTCTGTCCTGTCCTCTCAATAAATAAATAAATACATAAATAATCTTAAATGCATCAATGCCAAAGTAGGGAAGCTGCAGAAAGATATTTGTGTTTAAATGTGGACACTAAAAGCAAAAAGTTGAGGACAGATAGCAAAATAAAAACAAGTATTTGTACTTGGTTACCTCCCACCTCTGTACATCAGTCACTTGTTGTTGTGAGAAAAGTTTCTGTTAAAAGGGAGTCGATTATGTCACTTGGACTTCTTCCGAAACTTTGAACCTTCAAAAAAACTCTCGATGGAGCCCAAACAGCCGCAGGATTCATGTTTCTGCATCCTGAACGGATCCCCAAAAACACTCTGTGTCAACAGCAAGAAATCAAGTTCACACAGTCGACTGCACACCACCCGTTATTAAAATCTGTTCACACACACAGTGGAGCTGCACGTCCCGACAGATCAGCAGGAAGTGTGTGTGTGTGTGACTGTGATGTTGAAGCCAAAGTGTTTGTGAAGTCATTACACAGTGATTAGACTGATCACAGATCAGAGGCTGCTGCTTCAAAGCTGCAGAGGAAACATTTCCTCCTAATAAACTCCCAATTACACACAGATTACACAGACATACAGGCAACGTTATTGATCTACTGTGTGTGTGTGTGTGTGTGTGTGTGTGTGTGTGTGTGTGTGTGTGTGTGTGTGTGTGTGTGTGTGTGTGTGTGTGTGTGTGTGTGTGTGTGTGTGTGTGTGTGTGTGTGTGTGTGTGTGTGTGTGTGTGTGTGTGTGTGTGTGTTGATGTGTGCCGATGTGTGCTTGCAGGCCATCATTGATCAGGAGTGTGTGATGCACAGGAAAAGCTACAACACTCAGAAGGAGAGTCGTGAGTTTCCTCTGAGCGACTACAGCGAAGAAGAGGAGACGGAGGAGTGACACACACACACACACACACACACACACACACACACACACACACACACACACACACACACACACACACACACACACACACACACGCACACACGCACGCTGCTGAAGATGTTATGTTGTGATGTTTTCTCCAAACATGTTTTACCATCACCCTCAGACATCCTGTCGTCACGGTCAGATCAGAACAGATGCTTCTCAACATGTAGTGTCAACACAAACACGTTCACTGGAAACGCTGAACACGTCTTCAGAGTCCACAACGTTTCGACTTTGATTCTCTAACCACTCTCAAATGTCACACTTTAAACCGACTGGATGTAGCGCTGCAAACTACTTCTGCTTTATCAACTGGTGGAGGGCTTTATGTCGGCTTTAAAACCAGTAGTGTGTTTTATTAAAGTCCACTTAAGAACGCCAGCTTCTCCGTCTTTGTTTCAACGACGTGTGATGTTGAAATCAGCAGTTTGACAAACAGAATAATTCAGGGAACCATCAGTCGGATTCAATTTGTTATGAAAGGATTATATTTGATATTTAAATAAATTAGATAAACATAATGCCTATTATTTATAGCACCTCTTAATTGAACATATTTTAACTTGATGAAATGACTACAATCACACAGGTGAGATGAGAATATATTAAAAAGATTAACAGTTAAATTAGGAGCACATATTATTATTCATCTTGTTTTTATAGGTTTGGTTTATCATCCAGGAACTGTTTCGTTAACTTAATCTTTTTATCTCACAGTGTTGACATGTTAGATGTACCTGAGTCTGTATCTGACCTCTGATCTCTGTCACCATTAAAACCTGTTGTTCACCTGTGTGTGTGTGTGTTTGCTTCTGTCCTCACCTGGACTCAGGGATCACGTTAAACCACCGACTGCGAGCTCGACAGAAGCATCCGGATGGAAATCAGCTGGTGTGTTTTTTTTTAAATTTATGTGTGTGTTCACATGCTTCTTATCTGCTCTTTAATTTCCTGTCACGGCGGCTTCGTCAGAGAAAATAACGCAGGGACGGAAAGAAGCTCGGTCAGGTGGAAAAGTAAACAGGAAGTGGATGAAAGGCCCACGGGGAGGCTTTCATAAAGAGTCCTTTCACAGAAACCACTAACACATGATTTGTTATTAGCATTAGCTCTGATACCGTCAGAATAAAACAACTCTTTATATCACGAGATAAATCGTGTCAGCGTTCAGTAAATCAGCTGACAGTTTTTCAAGCAAGTGAAGAAGTTTCAGTTTTCATTCATGTTTTTTAAACGCAGGATGTTGACTGTATGAGGCTTTCACACTTACAGAAAACTCCTGAAAAACTCTGGATATTTGCCGGAGGAGCTGTGTGTGTGAACACAGACACATTTATCATTCTGACTTCTGCCAGACTATTGTTTCCGGGTAAGGATTTGCTAACATATATTTTGCAAGCTGCAAAAAAAAAGTACCTGGGCCCTCTTCTGAAACCGTCGGCAAACACGTCACAGGTCGTGAATAACCATGAGACGGAGATGTCCATATGGTCTGTTTTGGTGAACACGTTAAACAAGACCCCATTTGAACGCTAGTTCAGACCCTCAGCTGAACCAAACCACTAGCATAAGTAAAACCAAAGCTTTTTGTAACGCTAACCAAAAACACTAAAAGTTTATAAAGCTAAAAGTAGGCTTTAGTTTAGCACTTATTAAATAAATCATCAGCAACCAAATTAAGAGAGGAACCTGAATAATGAGGTATAGACATCTAATTTAAGGCTAAACCCCAAACTAACCTAAACCTAACCCCAAACTAACCTAAACCTAACCCCAAACTAACCTAAACCTAACCCCAAACTAACCCCAAACTAACCTAAACCTAACCCCAAACTAACCTAAACCTAACCCCAAAATATCCTAAACCTAACCCCAAACTAACCTAAACCTAACCCCAAACTAACCCAAAAACTCTCAGAGCGGTTGCGTAATCACATACCCAACCTTTAAGTGAAAACGGGTCTTGAAGCAAGTCAGGATTTTTAAAGTAATCGCTTAATCTGTGTTAATGGTGACAGCCGAGCTACCTTACACCCCAATATTATTGTACCCTGTTATTACCGAGTGGTGTGTTGAAACAGAGGACCCTGTCGTTTTAAATTCACACCACAGCAGAATGAAGCATTTCATTCTTATAAACTTAAAGTCTGTTTGTTGTTTTTACAAAGTAATTCACGTTTTATTCAGAAAACAAACTAAGAAGTCCTAGCTTGCTTAGCTAACAAGCGGCTAACTGATGTTTTGATGCTAAGGAATGAAAACAAAAAATACCTTTTCAAACAGGATGTATTTAATCTGATGATTTAATGGTTAATAATTGTTTTTTTAAGGTGTGTGTGTGCGGTTGATATAAATCAGTGTTAATTACATCCTCTGACAGCAGATCACAGCTTCAGCCCACACACACACACACACACACACACACAAAAACAGCTTCAAAACATTTTCTCTTGCTTTGAAATATGAATACACACAGCTAATCGCTCTGTGTGTGTGTGTGTGTGTGTGTGTGTGTGTGTGTGTGTGTGTGTGTGTGTGTGTGTGTGTGTGTGTGTGTGTGTCAGTCATCAAAGGTCTTTAACCCTTTGGGTTGTGGCTCTGATGTGGTCGTGTGTGTGTGTGTGTGTGTGTGTGTGTGTGTGTGTGTTAACAGGTAGGAAACGTTTCAGGCTTTAACTTTGATTCTCTGCTTCTGATTTAAGTTAAACAGGAGGCGAACAGAAATCTGTTATATTATGTGAAGATTGTTTATTAATCTGCCGCTAATCTCACCACAGCCACCGCTAACGTGTGTCTGTGATGGTCACATTTAGCCTCTTTGATTTCACACAGATTCTCTGATCTGTTCAACGTGTGTGAACATGAAGCCTGATCTGTTCTCCAGTCTTCAAACTGGTGACCTCATTATGTTTTAACTTAAAGGTAACTTAAAGGTGTTTTTGTTTTCACACTGAGATTATTTCAAAGTGTTCTTATCTATATTTTAATTATTAAAATATTACGTTTAAATAAAGGACTATTTAATTACTGTAAGATTGAAAAGCTTTGACCACAACTCCAATTTGGATTATTTCATCCACTAAGTGTTTTTTTTTCATGTAATTTGACTTAATGACCCCCTGTTACTGTCTCCATAAAGATTTCCACGTCCCCCTTTCTCCCCCCATGCCAACGTCTGCTCTCAAAAATAGGGGGAGAAAATAATTGGGAAAAAGTAATCTGTGCACAGAGGAAGTTTCAAGATCTTTTAGTAGGTTAAATAAAGTCTTGATAGTCGTTTATTTATACTAAACTAGTTAAATTTAAAGGCTTTATAATGAAATATAATATAAATCAAGTATATCCTCTGAAAATAACTCTGTGAGTCATGACTGTCTACAATGGGTGTAACACCCGAGTCCCACTGTCTGTGATGTTTTCAGAGTTTTCAGAGTCCTATCTTCACTTTGTTTACATCGCCAGGACGGCCGGCTGACTCCTCCCCTCGTGTATAAAAGAAATCAAGAAATTGAATGTAAAGTCTTTAAAGTCAGTGTTGGTAGCTTTCTCCAGATACACTTTTTAAGATCTTTGATCGATTTTTTTGTATCGTCCAAATAAAAATCGTGACATTTTGGTGAATCCCAGTCCTAATGAGTCTAAACCATTACGTTCCCAGTATGCAGGCCGGCTCGTGACTCTTACAGTCTCTAAAGGTACTTTGGAATCATCTACCCCCCCCCTCCCAAAAAACAACCTCTGAATCGAACATCCAGCTGGGGTAAAACTAGCCAATCACAGCCACTCTGTGAGGAGAATGTTTGGGTTGCCCGGCAACAGACACGAGATTACTTAATCTCTGAACTTCACTGTGTTAATTATTGTTTTAAAACGTTTAAGATGTGTCGAAACCTTCCACTGTATATTTTATTATTATTTACATTCATGGTCGAAACTAAACGCTGATTATCTGGAAAGTTTCTCAGTGGGAATGTTGTTCACGCTCGAGTTTGTAGCCCACCGGACATATTATTCTGAGCACACGGTCCGTCACAGTAAATCTTCCGGGTTTTTTTTTAGACTTCATGCAGCCGGAAATCTGCGAAATAAAATCGTCAAACAATCAATCCTGTGTTGTTTCTTCAGATCGATGTTTAAAGAAGATGATCAGCTGACCGAGGAGAGATAAAGATCTGATCTCAGGTCAGTAACTTACAAACAAACGAATCAGTCAGACTTTAAACATCACAGGTTCACTATCACTGGTTATTTAAACATCACAGGTTCACTATCACTGATTATTTAAACATCACAGGTTCACTGATTATTTAAACATCACAGGTTCACTGATTATTTAAACATCACAGGTTCACTGATTATTTAAACATCTCAGGTTCACTATCACTGATTATTTAAACATCACAGGTTCACTGGTTATTTAAACATCACAGGTTCACTGGTTATTTAAACATCACAGGTTCACTGATTATTTAAACATCACAGGTTCACTATCACTGATTATTTAAACATCACAGGTTCACTGATTATTTAAACATCACAGGTTCACTGGTTATTTAAACATCACAGGTTCACTGATTATTTAAACATCACAGGTTCACTGGTTATTTAAACATCTCAGGTTCACTATCACTGATTATTTAAACATCACAGATTCACTATCACTGGTTATTTAAACATCTCAGGTTCACTGATTATTGAAACATCACAGGTTCACTATCACTGATTATTTAAACATCACAGGTTCACTGATTATTTAAACATCACAGGTTCACTATCACTGATTATTTAAACATCACAGGTTCACTATCACTGGTTATTTAAACATCTCAGGTTCACTATCACTGATTATTTAAACATCTCAGGTTCACTATCACTGATTATTTAAACATCACAGGTTCACTATCACTGATTATTTAAACATCACAGGTTCACTATCACTGATTATTTAAACATCACAGGTTCACTATCACTGTTATTTAAACATCTCAGGTTCACTATCACTGTTATTTAAACATCTCAGGTTCACTATCACTGGTTATTTAAACATCACAGGTTCACTATCACTGATTATTTAAACATCTCAGGTTCACTATCACTGATTATTTAAACATCACAGGTTCACTGGTTATTTAAACATCTCAGGTTCACTATCACTGATTATTTAAACATCTCAGGTTCACTATCACTGATTATTTAAACATCACAGGTTCACTATCACTGATTATTTAAACATCACAGGTTCACTATCACTGGTTATTTAAACATCTCAGGTTCACTATCACTGATTATTTAAACATCACAGGTTCACTATCACTGATTATTTAAACATCACAGGTTCACTGGTTATTTAAACATCACAGGTTCACTATCACTGGTTATTTAAACATCTCAGGTTCACTGGTTATTTAAACATCACAGGTTCACTATCACTGATTATTTAAACATCACAGGTTCACTGATTATTTAAACATCACAGGTTCACTGATTATTTAAACATCACAGGTTCACTGGTTATTTAAGCATCACAGGTTCACTGGTTATTTAAACATCACAGGTTCACTATCACTGATTATTTAAACATCACAGGTTCACTGATTATTTAAACATCTCAGGTTCACTATCACTGGTTATTTAAACATCTCAGGTTCACTATCACTGGTTATTTAAACATCACAGGTTCACTGATTATTTAAACATCACAGGTTCACTATCACTGATTATTTAAACATCACAGGTTCACTGATTATTTAAACATCACAGGTTCACTATCACTGGTTATTTAAACATCACAGG